AAGAAGAAGAAGCAGCAGCAGCAGAAACATATAAATAAATGATTCTCCCCGGCGCACGACCTCGATTATGGCGAATCGCGACGTCTTATTTCCACATCAGCATGCCCCGTTGTTGTTAACCGCAACCGCCGACCTTATGACCTAGGTCGTTAAACCAACATCTGGATCTCACCACAACAAAGATCAATTTCCAATCGAACTCAAAAAGGTGGTTACGTAACCGCCGTTTTAATGTGCATATTTAAATTATTGAAGCTGGAAATGGAAATGTGTCCAATTCCATTATCATTGCACGCGGATCTAATGTTGGCCGTCATTAGGCAACCGAGCGTGACAAGAGCGCTGCTTTGGTCTCTCGCGCCACCCTATCGATTTGCTCACCGGTCCGTCTCTCGCTGCGAAAGACTATATCATTGCACGTGTGTGTCTTTTTATTGAAATGTCTCTCGGTTGCATCTGCGGTCGACTGCAAGACTGGCCGTGGGAACCTCGCTCTGGAAAAAGAGCCACCCGCTGCACTGGTTGCACAGGTGGTCAAGTGCGCGAGTCAGACTTGATTGCATTCTAACATAAGAGGTTGCGCGAATCCAACCTGTTTGCCGCCCTGAAAAGGAAAGGAATATAACGTGGCGGATAAAGGAAATTGAGATGATGCAGGTGATTGTTCGTTGACGTAGGAGGAAAGAAATTCACTGAACAAAAATTACGTGGAAAAACCATAAAAATAATTCGGTAATGGAATAGTTATCTTTATTTTTTATGGCAAAATTAACTTTTGTTTCTTCCACAGCGTGAAAATCTAAGATTATGCTTTTCTTATTTTTGTAAAATAAAATGTTGAAGTCAAAGTAAGAAGAGCGGGTATTCCCTCAGGAAACAGGAAATATTTGTCAGAAGAATAAAAATAAAATGCTTAGGCTTCTATGAAATTTTGCGTCCGACTCTAGCCTAAATCAAAATCGATCTAAAAATCCTTTCATATTGTTAAAATTTCTGTTTTGTGGTGGGTTGTAGCTGAAGTTTTAAAAACTAATACTGTTTCATTTAATGAAACAATTTTTTCTGAAAAATTGTATACCTTGAAAAACAAATTTAATATTTATGTGAGCAAAAATTATCTATGTAGGACGAAGTTGCAAAATTTTCTATTCACAAAAAGATAAAATTATCAACGCTCATGTCAGTTAGAATAATGAACGTTGAAGTTTAATTGAATAAAATTGAGGCCAAACCCCGTTTGAAATTATTTCCTTCCTGGATTAAATTCTGTGATGCAGTTGCAATTTTCCCGAGAGGGAAACCCGAAGGCCAACGCATAATATATTGTTGGCGTTTTTCCTCTAGTGGGTCACGAAAATCGCAACGTAGAACGGCCATTCTTGCATTTCGCAATTTTCGCGATAGCCTCAGGGGCCGTGCGCAGTTTTGTGGACAAGCAGGATTTCATCACAGAGCTGGATCTCAATTTTTGGCTCGCAGATTGATTCGGGGTCGGAACACCTGCACCTCCAGCTCGAAAGCCGGTTTTTCGCGTGCAGCTTTCCTCCAACTCCGGAGCCACGCAGACTGTTCGCTCGCCAGCCCAGCACGTGAGATTTGCCTCTTTTTTTTATATTCGAATCAACATTTTTTTTTTTGCGGCGGCGGCGACGGAGCGTGGTAGTGGTAGTATATTTTATACGAGCGTTGCTCCGAGCAGCCGCGCCCGCAAACAAAACAAGCATTGTGGAATTTTCCGTCGCAAGTCGATGTTTGAACGCGAAAATTATTCTCTCTCTCCAGTAGCAGCAGCTGCTGTGCGACCTTTGTTTTGGCGAGGCGGCTGCGTGACGCAAACCAAAATATAAAAAAAACTGCGTGCATGACAAGGCAGTTCCAACGTCATCCGCGTATTTTTGTTTACACACATTTACGCTGAAACTTTTATTCTATTTTTTTAATAAAAATTTTCATAAAATATTCGTATTTGTATTTGATCTAAATTTTTTGCTCTCTCACCAGGTTGAAACCTTGCAAGGAAGATAATTTTATTCATTGAAACAATTATGAAAATGTGTAATATTCTATTTAATGCTAAATATATTTTGCAAAATCTTGTTCAAAAACTTTCATAATTAGTTCTAGAGTTAAAAATTAACATTTTAGATTTTATTTTCATTTCCATTATGCAGATTTTTAAAATTATCGCTAAATTTTCTTTTAAATAAAATAATAATTGAGAGCAGACTAAATTTTGTAAATTAATTTTCTTTGTATTTTCACGTGTCTACATCTCATGATCTCTCCTCTCTGTTGATGAGAAGGGTCGTGACCCATTATCTTCTGGTCTGTTGACTAGACAGAAATTTTACTCATTGAGAGAAGTTTCGAGGCAACACATGTGTACAATCCCAGTACAGTCAACACGCAGCGCAATTACGACTTGCCCTCAAATGGAATCGGTTCGCTCTGGATTTGCGCTCTCTCGCGTGTCACTTTATTTCGCCCTTGGCGAATGGAGGCTGTGCGCCCGGTGGGAAAATCGATGCTCTGCTCAATCTCATTGTCAGGCCTTGCTCTTGTTTCGAGGGTGCGAAACGGCGTCACTACAGCGGATTTTTGCGTAGCGCTAATTTCAAGGTCGACCTAGCACAATTTACAATTAGCACTTATTTGCTAAACAACCTTTGCGCTTTTAGACAGCTGAAAATTTGACCCTTTGAACGGTCATGGTTAAGTAGAGAAATTTCCCAATTCGCTCCAAAAAGACAAAATTTCTTTGTTTCAAATGTTTTAAATAAATATTGTTTTTAACAATGTGGCGTAAGATGTAATAATATAATAGTAATAAGTAATAATTAACATTTTTTTTGTTTTTAATTTAAAGAAATTTGGATTGACAAAATTTAGAGTAGTTTATCTTACGTAATTAAAATCTAAATTACTGTAAAAATTTGGTGAACTTGGCAAACTTTAAATTTCTTCTCTATTTTTGATTAATTTAATAAATAATTCCAAATTAAATTTAAGTAAAATAATAACCTAAAATGCACTCTTGGATATCTTCCTGCCTATATATCTATTATCATTACAGCTTACATGGGTTTTCCCTGGAGGACGTTTTTTATTTACACACTAAAAAAAATCAATAATGCAAGACTGATTTCTAGAGAACTCCAGAGAACTCAAGTTTGTTAATCATGTTAATCTATTGCCGACACGCAATCAGTTTAAGTCTGTCTGATGATAATTTTTTGTGTTACAATAACGTAATTAAGAAATCATTCCGTTGAGACGTCATCTAGAACCGTTTTTATTAATGCTATAGAGGAATTGAATGATTTAACATACTTTTGAGTCCCTTAAAATAATAATTATTCATCATATTTGATCCAATTAAAAAGACTTTAAATTTCTTTACAATCCAACACCATCAATCATATAAAGACTAAGCGAAGAAAAGTAAGCATTCTTTATTTATCTGTAAATTACATTTTATGAAAGGAGAAACAAGCTGCTTTCAAAAGAGATCTCTGTCCGCAACTCGTTTGAAAACAAATTTAAAAAAAAACATGCTTAATAAGTAACCGCACGATTTCCATTATTTTTTCTCTGTTCATTATGAGACCCTGATAAGACACCTGTATTTTTGTTTATCAAATTTGATACCAATTATTATTAATTATCTTTAACACTCTTGCTAAGTTTTGTTTTCAAAATAACTAAAACTTGTAATGACTTCGGTTGAACAATTTTAAAACCTTTCCCTCTTAATGAACAGCACATTCATCCACTTTAATGCGCGTTGTCTTGAATGATGTAATTAATTGTTGGTCGCGGCCATAAAGAGATCTCGCGTATCTAATCGAATCAGATGATGTATGTGTTGGTGAAGAAGATTCTGTTTGCGTCTTCGAGGCCGCTCTTTCTTTCACGCGTCATCTTTGACTCGGTGCCACGATTGGGGCGATCGCATCACACCCTCCGATTGGCAATCCCGTGTCGTTTGTTTGCGAATCGCCCAATTCGGGGAACTCCAATTTCACGGTCCGGAGAGCAAATTTTAATTTTGGAGGGATAAAGGCTCTCCCCGCGTGTGTTCCCTCGCGGGCGGTCCACGCCAGTGAAAAGAGCTGAGAAAGAGCAGCTGGGGTTATTTTAAACGCGGACCACTGCCAACGATTTGATGTAACTCTGCGCTGCCATTGGTATTACGGGCCAGGTAATTACTCCTTTCTAACTGCCACCGGCCATTCGCGGAATGCAGCGTCTAATCCTGATTATAGAAAAACGCTTTGGAAGGCTCTAGTAGCCGATTGCGGCTGAACTTGGACGCTATTTTTATCCACTCGGCACTTCTTGCTGTCTATATAAAACGCGTGCTTCGTCGCGTGACACTCGGGAGAGAGACGTTTAAATTTAAACTCTGCGACTTTTTTCTAATTAGAGCAGGAGTCTTACTTGGTAGAAGTTAGATTGCTCACACGTTTGCCAAAAGGTCTACCGCATTTATTTATTTTTCCAACCTGATTGAGTGATTTGAAGTAGATATTGAGTTTTTTTTTCAAACATTTAAATTATGTTTTTATAATAAATTTTAGAATGTTTATTTTTCATTAATTAATTACTTGAAACAAGGGTTTGTTGCAGATTATTGGATAATTACTGAATATCTATAAGGAAAAAATTAAACCAAGCAACAATCAGTTTCAGCATTTGAAATCTATAAGTTCTAAACAGTGTCAGATTTGTCCGGTTCTTGTCTTTCAACAATCAAACAATCTTGATTGTTTTTCTTCATTTTTGCACCCGACGTGCTGGATTTTCCTCTACACTTCTTGTGCGCAGAGATAAAAGTCTGCTTTTGGACTCACTGAGCTGCGATTAGAAAGCAAGGTCTTCTCCATTTGCATCTGCATTATTCACCTCTCGTCATCCCGAGTTTGCATTATGTATATTTATTCCGACGCTTGTTTTTCCAGCACAGTTGAAATTCAAATTTGCCACTTTCGTGTTCGCAGAGAAAGAGACTTTTGGAGAGAAGTTGCCAGGTCCTGCAGGGTCGAGATTAGCGCGCAGCTGGGATGGTGTTGCTGGTGCCTGACTGGGGTATGGGAGAGTCTGCCGCCGAAAGCGCTGCCGTCAGCAACTACCATGCGAGAATCTCCGAGCAGCAGCAGGGTCGCACTGCCAACGGCGACGGACCACCCTCTTGGAAGGAGCAGGAGTCCGTCGAGGACGAACTCGCCTTGCTACCACTTAAAAGCCAGGTACAGAAATTATTAAAAATAGTTTTTCAGTTGGGTTTTGCTGGCTTAATGTATTAATTTTATGATGCAAAAAATTTACCATTGAAATCTTATTTGAATATTTATGTATTTTTCTTATTTTTAATTTTATCAAATCAATTGCAGTCAAATTAAAATAACTTTATATAGTAATAAACAATTTGTTAATTTTTTTTACGATTGTTTTTAATAATTTTTTTATACCACAAACGTTTTGCCATTCAGATCAGTGCATTTTGCGTCTCTTCCGTTGTTGCCACATGCGTTTGTGATTTGTCCAGTTTGTTTTCAAGTGTGTGAATATTCGCATGCGGGTGGACCACCGTGCAGACTGGCGAGTGAGCAGCTCTTGCCGCAGCGAGGTTCCCGGAAATTAAAACGAAATAACCCCTTTTTAGCACCCATTCACACTAAACTGCTTCAATAACGATGACACTGGAATTAATCACGTTTGTCTTTTTTGGTGACGTCCTTGCAGGTCGGAGGCCACACGAGGCTACTGGTGCTGAACCAGAGCACAATCTGCAAGCCGCTCAACCCGCGCGAGCTCAACTTTTACAAAAACACGCCTGAGGAAATTGAACGTTTTATTCCGAAATTCAAAGGTAAGCTGAGTAAAATAAAATCCATACCCGTTTTTCTTAACAAAGTGCGAAAGAGAATTTATAAACGAGAAAAATGAATTTTTGAGGTAAATTCGGATACGTTTTTTTAGTTGAAAAATTCTTTGGCTGGAAATAGCTCGGCGACAATAATTTTGTCCGGCTGGCGCCAGCCTAATATTTGTCAGCCAGTTCCAAAATATTTGCATATGGCGATGACCGGTGCCAAAAAATCGAGTTTTTGCACCTTGACTCACCCCGCGCCTACAGATATTAAAATCTATTTCCATCTTCAAATTATAAATAAAAAAAGTTGAAAAAAAAACGTATCCATTTGGACCAGAGTGTGTTTGAGTGTGACAGTAGAAAAAAATATTGGGGGGTAAAAAAAAATTGGAAAGAAAGGCAAAAGCAAGGAGCATTCGATGTGCTGAGCTATTGTTCAGGCAGATGAGAAACGCCGTCGAGATCCGAGGAATCGAGGACCGCTTCTCAAAACCTGCCGCGTACGTGCCCTCCTAGCAGGACCCCAAACGAGCCTTGCACGGTTTGTATAGCTGCTATACACTGTGATTTCAACTCGCTGTTTGATCGACCGGCTATCAAAAGTCTAAGAAACAATTGTTTTAAAAAAAATGCGATCAATAAGCTTCTCCTCCAGACTCGCAGCCTGAATTTTAATCACACGCTAGTTTTGTAGAAAGCGTTGGGAAAATTGTTTAATATAAAAAAAAGTGGCCGAAGGTGTATAATTGAATATTAAATTTGGTTGACGCCTTGCATGCTTGCCATCTCTCTTTCATCCGCACCAAACTCTTTTTCAATCGGTGGATTTGCTCGTCCGATTCGAAAAGTGTCCGGAGCGGAAACTGCGCCGCGCCAATTGTGTTCCGCTTCGGCTACTTCACTCTCGCGACGAGCAAACTGCGCACTCTCTTCTCTGCTCTCCGCTAATTAATCGCCATCCCTCGTCTGCAAGTTGCAATTATATTCCGAGAGGCTTCGGGACAAAATTCATTCACCCCAACTCAAAAGTTCGTTCTCAGTGGTCTGACGAGACGCCGGCGTCGTTTGTGTTTCAGGTGTCATGCAAGCTGCCAACAGTAGCGGACCTCTTGGCAAATACAGTCCGAGCTTCCGAGACGTCGACAATGGCAGCAGTTCCAAGCGCAAACGTGACAACCCTTATAGGTAAATTAAAAATATTTTGTAGATTTTTAATTTTTTTCAGTTTTGATTTTTATTCTTTTCTTTTAAAATATAAACGATTAGGTTCTAAATTTCCTTTAAACCAATTTTTCGTCGAAAGAACATTGAAAAAAATTGTATAGCATCACAGCACTGATTTTTTTTTAAATTTTTTTTATGAAATTTCTGATAAAAAAAATTATTCAGAGTCAATTTAAACGAGATCATTCTTTTATCTTAAACAAGATAAGTACTCGTAAATAATACCTTTTGATTAATAGTTATTCAACAGCTATTTTAAAATAAATCTACGCGTGTAGAGCATGATTTTAGAATCAAGAAGTATTTAAAATTGGAATTGGAAAAGTTATTAACAGCATTATTTTTTGATGTTCTCCAATTAGGGTCAAAGTTCGACGAAACAATTCTGCCAGTTCAAGCCAAGGAACACAAATGGACAATGGTGCCAAGCAATGTGAGTTTTTTATAACACCAACTCAAGTGGACTCGGGTTTTTAATTTTATTTTCTCGCTCTGCAGCATTCCTGCTGTTGGAGAATATCACCTCGCACTACGCCAAGCCGTGCGTGCTGGACCTGAAAATGGGCACCAGGCAGCACGGCGACGACGCTTCGGCCGAGAAGAAGAGCAAGCAGATCGCCAAGTGCGCGGCCAGCACTTCCGCCACGCTCGGCGTCCGCCTCTGCGGCATGCAGGTATGTTTAAAAATAAGCCTTCTCAAAATAGACAGATTTCTCCAGCAGCGTAATATAAATAAACCAAAATAAACATACACTTGGGAGACTTATGCAAGTGTGCGTTTGACACATACACAGGTCTACCAGGCGGACACGGACAGCTACGTGAAGGAGGACAAGTATTTTGGCCGCGAACTGGACGAGGAGGGTTTCAAGAGTGCCTTGTTCCGCTTCTTTCACAATGGTTACCACTTACGAAGCGAAGTCGTCCGAGAGGTGATCACCAAACTGGAGAACCTGCGCTCCGTCATCGAGCGGCAGAGCAGCTTCCGCTTCTATTCCAGGTTAGCATTTTGTTTTTAAATAAAATATTTTTGTGAGAATTCATGTCTCGGAAAAAAAATTCAAAATGAAAAACATTTTTTTTTCTTATGGCACCCGTGAGCTTATTAGGCTATTAGGTCGGTCTCTTGCCGTAGTCGAGCACCCTTGGCACAATTGTGCTTCCCAACCAACCTGACCCTTGTTCGGGGGCTTGTTAATGTTCAATGTTCATTTTTCTTATTAGTTTTAGTATTTTTTTTAAAATTATTTTATCAAAACGAAGTGCTTTTTTTAAAATAAATAACAAAATTTTAAAATTGATTTTCCAGCTCTCTGCTTCTCGTCTACGAAGGCCTCGAGCAGCTGAGCGGGACTTCGGCGGCGGCCACCCTTCAGCCATACACGACCCTGAAGCAGGACTCGTCCCTCCTTCACCCGCACGACATTCGTTCTCTTCGCGCCTCAGCCACCTTCTTTGAGCAGGAGACGAGCAACTCGTCCGACTGCCTGTCCCACTCAGACGAGAGCCGCGGGTGCGACGAGGAGCAGCCGGTGGTGCCGGTCGGGGGCAAGACCTTTGTGCCCATCTCGGAGGACACCGTGTTCCTCAACTCGCAGCCAAGCGAGAACGGCGCCGCCGCCAGCAGCCACCAGTACGGCTCCAGTCCAATGTCGGTGGACAGCTGCGGCGCCGGCGTGTACTCGAGCGACTGCTCGCAGTTCACAGAGTCGTCCGAGTCCTCGGACATGGACGTCGGCGGCAACCAGAGTTGGCGACGCGCCAACTCGTTGGGCGCCCAGGAGAAGTGGACGCCGCAGAAGGAGTTGCAGCGCACCCGCAGCGCACCCAGGGTCGACGTGCGCATGATCGACTTTGCGCACACCACCTTCGGCGCCTCCTGCAGCAACTCGTCGGTCCACCTCGGGCCGGACAACGGCTTCATCACAGGCATCGACAGCCTCAGACGACTGCTGAGGGAGATTCTGAGCGAGGCATGATGAACAACCAGTGCTGGTGCCCGCGAAATCAGTTTTAAAGCTGTTACTGAATTTTACGACAGAAAGTACATTTACCGAAATATATATTTCAAATTGATATGCAAGTCAATTTGTTGGCGAAATCAGAGACACACTTGAAACGAAAAGGTGATGCATTTTTTTGTTTTGTTTTTAAAATTTTTCATCGTTCTATTTTGATGTTATTAGAAAAGTGCGGCGTGTATTCCGGACAGAGTTATGAAATTAGTAAAAAAGCAGGCGCGCGTATTTACATTAATTAATTAATTAATTGTCTTTCAATCTCCTGTGACAATCTGTGGTATTACATAGTACTGTAATAATTATTGTAGAGTATAATGGTAATGGAAATAAAAGGTAGCACACTGCCCGGAATAAATTCTCCGACCCGACCGAGAATGTATGCAGAGTCAAGCATTTTTTGCAAATGCCAGAGAGGGAGAGAGAGACGCACACACACGTGAAGTCTCTTTTTTTCGACAAAAATTCTCATATATTATATTACTTGCCCATCGAGAGTTTATTACTTTTGCCAATTCCCTTTTTTAGGGACCATATTATTTAATTACTTGTACGTGTGTGTGCATGCCGAATAAATTTTGAATTACCTCTCGTTTCTCCAGAGCTAGACTGAGCTGCTGTTTTATATTGTAAAAAAAGGAAATGGAGTTTTCACAAAGAAAGTACGCGTTGTGTGATATCTGCACATGCATGACCAATGTTATAGGAGGAAATCATTTTCCTTTTCCACACGCACCTGCTGCAAATTTGATTGTTGATTGTGTATCCAATACATTTTGTGTCACTTGCACCCCTCTTTAAAAACAATACACGCAGTGAATCATCTCTCGGACGCTTTTTCCATACTGAAATATGCTTCCAAGGAAATTTGCTGATTGTGAGTTTAAAAATACACTATTTATTCGTGCTTGAAAAGGAGAGGTCTCTATAAAAAAAAAGAAATGGATATATATCAAAAAAATAATACTCTTCGATTATTAAGCTCTCTTCTATACAGGCGAAAAAGCAAATAAAACGCATCACGTGCATGTAATAAATAGGAGTAAAAATATACAAAGAGCAAAGACCGAAAAATGTATAGTGAGTATTCTGCCTCGTAACGACAAAGTATAATCGAAAAATCGTGTACCCACACAGACACACTATAATGTACTATATTTAAACACGCATTGATGATGAAACATAAGTAACTGAAAATGTGACTGAAAATGCCTACACTTGTAACTAAGCGAATAATAATTCCTTTTGATGAAAATACAGTTATGGGTGCGCTGGGAAATGTTCAAAGAAAAGGGATGAATTTTCCAAACAAACAAACTCGTAACCAAGATACAAGCATGGTGGTTGGATTGTCCTCATTGCGACTGCCATTACAATTTAAATTAGCCGTGAATATAAATCGTTATTATGTAGTTACTTGAATATTGCAAATATTCTCTCAATATTAAAATGATTATTCTGTAATTATTATTATTATTTCCCCGTTTGCAGGGGAATGTAAATAATATAAACCTGATATAAATCGTAATAGACCCGTTATGCTGACAACCAAACCATGCCGAGTAAAAAAAAAAAAAAATAGCAAACAGATTGTATGCGAGTAGTTGTTGTGTATGTCCTAGTGCATGTGCGCGCATAAAAGCTTTTAAATTTTGCCGTGGCGACAGAGAAGAAACTTGTGAGAGGAGGAAAAAAATTGAAATAAGAATGCTGCAAAGTGTTTGAATTAAGTATTAGCTTGACACAATTAGAATATTTTTATAAAAAGGCTGTTCAGATGGGGAGTGTGCGTGTATTTTGTTCTCGACAAATAAATTTATGTTGAAAAAATAAAACTAACGATGTTTCAATTAAATAAACCCACAAGTATATGTTTTAAAATGAGAGTCTGAAATGTTGTGCAACTTTTGAGATAAAAATTTATTTTTCACATGAAAGACATAGTTCGCAGTTCGGATTTGGGACAAATTTACAAGATTCTATTGGTAATACAAAATCAGTCGCACTCTCTTCTTCTAATCCTACTTAAGTTCACACAGTCACTCAGGTCATGTCGATGTATTTTGTTCGTTTCGTCAAATTAGTTTTAAAACTTTTGCTCAGTGGAGTCGTCTGAAGTGCCGAGAGCGCGGAGTCTCATCAGAAGAGGTCGCGGGCGGAAGGGCTGCCAGGGCAGGGGCGCGTGGCTGGAACCTGGGCTCTGGGGACAGCAGAAGGGCCTCAGTGATGCGACGCATGACGACGGTGCTTCCGACCCGGAAGGTTCGCATGTGTGTCCGCACCAGGAACTGCATTCGATGCAAGGCCACTATCACAAGGGCAGCTCCCCTGAAAAATTTGGATAACAAAATTAAATCTGCAAAATGTTACAATTTATAAATTTTGAAAGTAATATGAGTGAGACTTTGATGGGATCTTAGGATAGGATAAAATTAGGTGAAGTTTACTTTAGGACGACGTGAGAAAAAACGCACTTGAATCTGGCAAGTGGTGTGGGAGAAGGCAGAGGCGGCGCCAGGGGCAGCTGAGCTCTGATGGAGGCCAACGACGCTTCAAACGAGGCTATCACCATCTGCAGGTAGCGCTTCTGCCACCTCAGGGATTTGCGTTGGCTCTCTATCTGTTGGCACTTGCCGTAAAGGTACTCCACCTGGAATCAGAGTCAAGAATTCATACTGTTATAAATTATGTTAACTTGTTGTGAGAAAGGAGAATTAATTGATTTGATTGATAATTTAAAAATATGAAAAATATTGAAATATAATTCTAATAAAACTTGAAGAAACAAAAAATCTAGTTTATATGTCTTTAATTTTATTATGTTTAATAATTTATGAATTAATTAAAACAGAAAAATACCTTAGAGTGGTCAATGGTGATGGTGTCATCTCCAGTCCTGTCCTGCGAGTTCTCATACTGCATTTTGAGTCTCTCGAGCAGCCAAGCGGCCCGTTCGGTGCTGAGGGCGGCCGCGGCGGCCACTGCTTCGTGCTTCAGCCGCTCGGCCTCATGCAGCAGTTGCACCCTTTCAACAGCCCACGCCCGTCGCTCCGCCTCAATTGTGGCAGACTCCAAAGTGGATGTCGGTCGGGCAATTTCGTGACGCAAGGCGGCTACCTCAGCGGCCACGCCACGTCTGGCCTCCGACAGCTGCTGCTCCAGAAGAGCTCGGTGCCGCTGGTGCTCGGCCTGATCTCGGTCTGCGCGCTGCAGAAGACGCGCCTCGGTCTCTCTCAGGGCAGACACCAGCTCGTTCAGCTCCTGCGTCTCAAAGTGCAAACGCACATTCCTGTCTCGCTCCTCCTGCAACTGAACATTTATTTAGGCACAACCAAACGCCTTTGACGGCGTGCGGGGTCAAAGTGAAACCGCCACCAAGCTCAATTGTTTTGAAGGAGAAAAGCGCTTTGAACAAATTTAAAAAGTAAAGATTTGTTAATTTTTCAAAAATCATTTATTGAATTTTAGTGCAAACGATTTGAATTGAAAATTTTAGATTTTTACTAGATATTTAGATAATTTCAAAGCGCTCCAGTTTTGCATGTTTGTGTGTGCCAAAGCGTACCTGTGCCAGCAGGTGGCGCAGGTGGTGCTGCGTGATTTGCTGGCTCACCTCTACCATATCTGCCTTTTCGTCCTCCTCAGTCTGAAATTCATAAATCAATACGCTTCAATTATGCTTCTTTGCACTCCACCTACCTTTGATTTCTCCTTTGTTTCCAGCTGTTGCTGCAGACTGACAGCTTTGGCCGCCGCCTTTTCTAGCTGCTCCCTTGTCTCGTGGTACTCCTTGTCCTTCGAGTCAAGCATCTGAAGACAATAATAAATTAATTAATGGTTCAAAACAGAGTAGAAGTGTGTCTACCTGTGAAACGGCAGCAAGATTACGCTGGGTGACCCGGTGTCTTGCGCTTTCACCCTCAAACTTGGCCATCAGAAGAAGCATGTCTGTGTCTTTGCCTGCCAAAGCGCTCTCCAGGGCGTTTGCTCGGCACAACTCCTTTTCCAACTCCAACCTGAGTATCAAAAGATTATTTTAAAAAATTCGAGAGCTAAAAATTATTTTCCGTACTTGGCTTGTTGGACTTGACGCTCTGCCGTCTCAAGCTTCTGCTGCAGTTCCAGCAACTTTTCCATGTTCTGCCGTGACTCAACGCCTCGTTCCATTTGGGCAACACGAGCCTCGGTTGCCAACTGCTTTTCTGTGGCCACAGCAGCTTCCAGTTTGGAGGCTTGTTGTTCACTTTCCTCAAGCTGCCGCCTCAAATCAGCAACTGAAAAAAAAATAATACATTTTTTTCCAATTTTTCCTGAATTTTGTCAATAATAACATTTTGCTCACTTTTTTCAAGAAGACTCTTCTCCTTGAGCAGCGCCTCTTTCTCAGCAGTGATCAGCTGCCTTTTCAGGTCAGCAACCAGAGTTGCGTCCGTCAATGCCGATCTGGCCGTCTGTGTGGCCGCAGGCTTCATCTCAACAGGTGCAGCGGTGTGTTTTTTTAGCACAGCCAGCTCGCTCAAGCTCAGAACCTCGACTCCTCCGTCTTGCACTCTGGACAGCAGCCGTTGCAGATTTTCTGTAGCAGTGGATATGTCTAAGCTGGCGCTGTCTGTTGATGCGTCCAACTGGGCGTTCACAGACAACTCTGTCTGCATCTGCCTTGCATATTCCTCAAATCGAGCTGTAATAATGTTGATTAAATTTTAAAGATAATAGAGAAGTGACAAAATTACTGGAGATTGTGGCAAGTTCTTCCTTAAGTTGGTTGTTTTCATCCTGCAGCAATTTCAGCTCAGATTTGCCTTTCTCAATCAGTTGCTACAGGAAGAAAAATAAGATAAATTTTTAAATTCAGGGAAACTTGTAAATTACATTCAGATTTGATTCTGTCTGCTGAAGAAGGATCTCTTTCTGCTGTAGCTGTTCCTTCAGAGAGTCAACCTTGTCCTCCAACACCACTTTTGGTGTGGCAGGCTTGGACAGTTCTACCAGTTTGGATGGCTCCTCGTCCAGCTCCAAGTTTCCAATCACCGGCTTCAGTTTCTGCAAAATAAAGGTCAAGTCTGGATCTCATAAAGGAATTTATAGAAACTAACCGGTTCCATTAATGTGGAGTTGCCAAAGTCAAACTCCACTGCTCTGGAACTTGACCTCAGCACCTCACTATTTCTGGAGCTGCTCCTAAGAAGAGTCGAATGCGTCCTCATCTCCACGTGCTGCATCATCTCCAAAAGCTGCTCTTTGGTAACGTCAGATGTTTCCAAGGTGTGGTGCACACTTTCAAGGCGTTCGCGCATAACTTGAACCTGTAAACAATGAAGTATATTTAGCAGACAATCACTGTTTATATTCAAAATTCAAATCAATTCACAGTTCGCATGATTTAACTTCAGTATTTTAAAACTCGATATTAAAATATTCACCTGCAAGCTGAGCTCCTCGATTTCAGTATTTTTTTCAGCAATCAATGATTGATAAAGCTGATTGCTAATGCGTCTCGGACTGCTCGAAAGTCGACGAATAGCTTCTTCCTCAACCAAATCCAATCTCTCCCTCAGTCTTTCAGTCTCCTCAGTTGCCTCCTGCTCCTTCCGAGCGGCCTCAGCCTCGTGCTCAGCAAGCACACGCTTTGTCTTCTCCAACTGCTCTCGCAGCTCTTTGATCTATTCACAAAAATTATAAGTAATCAATGATTTTACAATGGTTAATTTAGTTACCTCTGACTCCTTGGTGCTGAGCTTTTCCTTCAGAGCTTCAAGCTGCTCGGCTGAGCGTTGCTGAATGTGGCGCAGACTCGAATTCTGTCGCTCTTCAACACTGCTCTGGTGAAATCGTTGTTGGTCCAGCCGAGACTGGAGACTAGAGATCTGCTGGAGTTGTTCTTCAACACGTTTTTGCAGCATGCAGCGCTCAACTTGAAGCTCCTATTAACAAAATTAACAAATAAATTTTAGATTTTATATAAAATTTTGCATTTTAATATGAAATCAGACAAAGAAACTTTTGTAAATAAAAAATGCTGACCTCTTCAGAACGCTGGACTGTTTTGAGTTCATTTTCAAGTCTTCTTATGTGTGAAAATGCTGCATCCTCAGCACGAGTGTGGTTCTGCAGTTTATCCTGGAGGCGTCGAATGGAAGCCAGAGGCGACCTTTCAACACTCTCAGGTGATGTTACACCCTCTCCACTCTCACGAGGACTGCTTGCTGCCTTGTGAGCACGCTCCAGTTCCTTAGTTCGCTTATCCAAGGTCATTTCCAGCGTTTTCAACTAAATTTGTTTGTATATTTAAGTGCCGATGGAATTTTGAGTATATTTTTCTTACCTGTAAATTCATTTCATACAGAGCAGGCGCCTCCTGGTTGGCTTTTTCCTCCAGCTGCTGCTTGTAGGAACTCAACTGCTCCTCAAGCAAGCAGATCTGGTCAAGGAGGTCAACAGAACTGTGGTCATTCTTCAGGGCATCCAACTGCTCATTGTGGATAAGACTTTCCTGGTCGAACGCAGCTTGCAGGCGGCCCAGTCGTGACTTGAGTTCTTTTTCGCTCTTTTGCTTATCTTCAAGTTGGGATTCTAAGTTTTTCACAACGTCGCGCAAAACTTGCACCTAAAGTAAGTGAAAATTTTAATTAATATATAAAGAAAGATCAATTATGAAGCTGTAACAGGCAAAATGAGAATATACAAATTCATTCTGATCGACTCTGGGTCTAATTTTGTGTGAATAGTCCTATGTGTTCGCCAGAAATACATCAATACAATTTTTGAAAAATCAATACAAACAATTTGAATAAAACATTTCGGAAAAGAGAGTAAAGAGACAGGACATAAAAAACTAACTGCTATTATGTGCCATGTTAGTTTTTTACTAAAAATTGAGAGTAACGATTGTTTTTAAGTTATCTTGTAATCTCTAACTCACAATCAGCAGGTAATAATGATACTCTCAGTCTATGTGCCCATAACATAAATAATTATTTTGATAAACTCAATTTTCAATTCCAAGAATCAAAAATTAAGAATTCCTAATAAAATTACATTTATATCATTAAGAGCAAGAACAAGGTAAATTATTAACTATAATAATTTCAAGTGCCATATAAAAAAATCATAGAGTGTAAGAAAATCAGTGAATTTAAATTCAAATATACTAAAAAATGGCTAAATTTTCAATAACTTTTGTGTATTTTGTATTTAATATTATAAATTAATGAAACGAGTCTGATATTATTGATTAAATCGATATGTTGGGGATGGATTTTTTTTATAATTCTCACCTTATCATTGGCGGCTTTGTACTGCGCGGCAGCTTCAGCAGCTGCTGCATGCGCCTTCTGCAGTTGCCCAGCGTGTTCCCTGACCTGACCCTCTAGGCACTCAACCTGAAGAATGAAAACTTGCTTTGAAAATCACGCCCCGTTGCATTAAAGAGACTGCGTGAAAGTGGCCCACAGTCGAGGGTTATTTTTAGAGCACTTCCTGTCTCTGCATCCAACTGCGCACGAGGGGAGGCCACTCCACAACCACACGCAACACATGCTCGTAAAGGGGCCAATGGGGGTGGAATTTCATGGAGGAGAGGTTTTTTTGTTGTTGTTCCATTTAAACTCAAGATTGAAATATGATTCCTCCAAGAAAAAATAAAATAATCACCTCTTTAGACAGGCGGCTAGCTTCGTTCTTGTCCCGCTCTCTGTCCTTGAGGGCGTCCCTTAGGTGCTGCACCTGACGAGCAAACTCATCACGCTCCTGCTCCCGTTCAGCAGCTTGTTCATCCAGGAAGGCTCGATTCGCACGCACCTGTTTGTCCGCACACTCTATCTGCAGGAAATAAATTCAGAAGCAAAATGAAAGAAAATAATCTTTGTTTTCTTCTTTTGGAAAAAATAAAACTTTAAAGGAAAATAATAATTTACCTGCATGTGAAGGTCATCTTTTTCCCTTCTAGCCTCGTCTGCCAGCCGATGAGCTTCGGCCACCAGTTCCTCGAGCACATTAGCGCAAGGATGGGGTTCGTCTTGAAGGACGCCTCTTGCCCTTTCCTGAAGGTCAACAAGTCGTACGAGTCTCAGCTCAAGTCCCAAGGGAGCTCCCTCGTCACCGAAGCCTTCAGTTACAGCCTCTCGAGTACGATTCTCCAGGCGAGCTTCTAGGGCAGCTACCTTTGCCTCACTGGCGGCCAGCAGCTGCTTCAGGTCTTCAAGCTGTGGAAGAGATTGATTTTTTTTTTAAATTTCATCAAAAAGTCTAACAAGTTAATTGAATTGAAGTAAAGATAAAAGTAATGATTTGAAACATAATAAGAATAATGAAATTTTTAAATACTGAATTTTTAAATATTTGTGTGTATTATTATCATCTTGCATAAGTACAAACAAACCTGTCTAGTTCCAACAAGGGATGCTTCAGAGACTCCAATGATGTCAGCAACTTCTCTGCGAAGACGAAGCAGACAAGCGTCTAAGTCTGCGCGCATTTGCTCTGCATCAAGCTCGGAAAGACTAAGCGCCTCTGACAAGGCACTGAGGTCTGGAGCGATTCGCAAACGGCGCTCTTCCTCACTTGCGTTGCTCTCGGTGTCACTGCCCAGGGCATGTGTGTCGACGAAAGAGGCCAACTGTTCGTCAAGCTGACCCAGGTAGCGTACCAGCTCAGACACAACATGCCGAAGCATTTCGTTCTCCCTGCCGAGAACCTGCTTTTGTTGCAAGAACTGGTCTCGAAGAGGTGCCTCGACACCCTGATTGTGAGAGCAGAAAAATTTTAAAGTTAAACATTTTTCATGGCATAAAAATTAAACCCATAACTCTCATAATGAAAAGAATAAAAATTATAGAATTGATCATTTTGAGCTGTGCGTAATGGACAAATTTAATAGCAAACATTTGAATAAATTGGCAAAACAATGGTTTGTTTCATTAAGTTTAATAAAAAAAATTTAGTATTGAATCATCAATAATTGAATAACCAACCTGAATCATCTGTTGCCTGAGGGCATCCATCTCCTTTGCGTGTTGTTCCTTAAGTTTGGCCACTTGGCCTGTGGCCTCAGCCACTAGGTGTTCGCGAAGCTGCTCCAGTTCAGGCGGCCACTCGGAAGCCTCGTGCTCTCCGGCAAGCATCGCCTGCAATGCAAACACTCGGCTCAATTTAGATGCACGTGACTCAGAAGGTCAATGATCAAACAAAGGCAGAAGCAGAAAAATAAATTAAACGGCAAAGCCCATCCACCTCGCTACCAGGGACTATCAGATCACAACGGACAGTACCTGCAGGTGTCGGCCGAGAGTTGCGACCGCGTCCATGCGCTCTTCTTGCAGGCGCCGCTCGAATCGGAGCTCCGAGTCGGCGCCGCGCTTTGCCTGCTCCTCCAGCAGCGCCACAAAACTCTCCTCCTTTACGATTCAAAGCATGCAGACGGACACGAAAATTAGAGCAAGAAGGCAACAAAGTTTTGGCCGAAAAAGCAAACATGGCCTTTCATCTGTTCTCAGATTAAAGCTTTTCATGCGATTCATATTATTTTAATAAAATTTTTCTTGCTAACATTTGCAATGAGAAATATGGAAAATTTAAATAGTATATTGATTCTAGAAAATTTGAGAATATTAGACATGCAATTTTCATTTCTCACATGCACATTGGCATTTTAAATTTTCAAGCTGAGACAAGATTCTCTCACTACCTGAATGCTCCGTAAAACTTTGATGTGCTTCATGTCCAGAGAGCAGCAGAACAATTTTCCAGCGCTGCACAGCCTCAACTGACTGCTGCGCTCCTCTGCTGCTACCTCTGAGGCATGAGTCACCCTTCACTCACAGAGCAATCAGGCAGCTCATTAAACATAATGGGGAGAGGAACAAGCAGTGAAACGGCGCCGGGCGGTAAATTACCTGCTGCTCTATTGTCTGCTGTAGTTTCAGCACTTCCTTCTCATGCGCCTGGGCTAGCACCTTCTCTAAGTGCTCTAGCTTTTGTCTAAACTGGTCATTCAGCTCACTTAGCGCCATTTCCAAGGATGCATGGTGGCCTGGAAATTAAAATATTAAACAATAATTTCAAAAGTATTTTTATGCTTTATAATTTACACTTTGCTAAATTAATTAAATTTATTATAGTTTGCAAATGTGGGAATACTTACGTTTTTCCAATTCTTCTTCAAGCTCCTCCATTTCTTTTTCATGCTTTTCTTTCAATTTGGCAGTTTGCTTCTCAAACTTTCCTTGCAGCTCTTCAATCAGATGTTCCCGCTGTTCCACAATCTCAGCAACGATTTTTTTGTGCTTCTCCTCAAGCGTGCTCTGCCAGAAAAAAAATAGGAACGATGTAAAGTAGAAAATTCATCAAACCATCTCTTGTAAATTCTGCCGCTTGATGCTTTCGACCAGCTCGTCAATCTCCATGCTCAATTTTTGCGTCTCCTCTCTAACTCTCCTTTCAAGCTCCTTGTCAAATTGCGCTCTTAACTCTTCAGAAATATTCGTATCCTGAATATTATTTTTAATATCAAAATTTCAATCTTTCATATTTTTAAATTTACTGGATGTTCCTCCATTTTAATTTGTGGACTAGCGGTCAGGTCAAATGCGTTTGACCTTTGAGTAACTTCCGAGCGCAATTTTTCCTCAAGACGAGACATTTCAAGTTCATGAGCATCATTCAGGTCCCGGGCCAATTGCTGGATGTTACTCGCATGTTTTTCTTCCTGTCGAGCTAATCGTTCGCTCCACTCAGCCTCAATCGCGTCAATGACTCGCTCATCAGGCCTAAAATTTAAGGAAATAAAATAATCTGAAACGAAAGAACTCTCACTTTATTGATGGAGGCTCAGAAAAGCTGTCACAGTCTTTAGTTTGGTCGTCTTCAAACTCATCAGAGCTACCGGATAATTTTCGACTCTGACTTCTTTGACTATATACATCTTCAGCATACCTAAAATAAGCTCATAGTAATTAAATAATCTAAATAATCGATAAATTTACTTTTCATTAAGATCTGCCCATCTTTTTTCATAATAAGTTCTCAGCTCTTCCATTTCCTTTTCATGTTTCTTCTCCATGGCTATCTTCAACTCCAAAAGGCCACTAACTGCCAGTCCTGACGTCTTTAGATCAGCAAGAAGAGCTTTGATTTGTTTCAATTCTTCCACCTCACTGAAATAACAAAGGTTAAATATTTCTGGTAAAAATCAAAATATAATACCAACCAGGTACTCTCCCACTGGTCTTTGATTTGTTTATTAATCTGCATATTTGTATCCTTAAGAGCTAGCCGTAAGTTAGCCGCCTCCTGCTTATATTTGCTGTTGATGGTTGCAGCAGCTGATTGAACAACGGCGGCCACCTCTTCGCCACCTTCAAGTGCTGCTTTTGTGCACTTTTCACTCCATTTGTCGCATATTTCCTGAACACAGGCGCTCAACTTTGAGCAGACGGATTGCTCCAGTTGCTGCAGAAGTGATTCGTTGCGCCTCTGCTTGTCCTCCTTCAGCAGAACTTCCAGCTTCTGCTCAGATTCCTTCTCTGAGTGACTCTAGTATTGAAATTTGGAATAAAAATCAGGGATAAAAATATAGTTTTCAAATAGAACCATTTCAACAGTAGCTTTTTCAACATTATCAGCCTTCAGAGTCTCCAGGAGCTGCGCATGTGTTTCTTTCAGGCTTTGCAGCTGCTGGTCATAGCTGATGCTAATCTTTTCTATCTCCAAACGCAACCCTTCTTGCACCTTTTCAAGTACCTGACTCAAGCACCGCTCATCAAAGTCGCCCTAGAAATTTGGGTTATTTTTGTGAGATGGGACCAAAAAATCAATAAAATTCCTTCATTCAAGTCTCCTGATACTTTATCATAATGTAAACAGAGAGCTCACCTCAAGATTTTTTAGAACCGCTCGCATCTCCTTTAAGATTTTGTCTGCAAATCCATCTCGTAACTTGATTTCTCGTGACTCAATTCGCTTGTGCATCTCTTCGAGCTGAATTAAAGAATACAGAATTTTTAAACTCTAAGCAACTGAAAGAAGAAATCGGAAAAAAAGAAGACAGAAAATAACTTTTGAGCGATTTATTTCAAATTAAATTAAAACAATAATTTGGAAAAACAGAATGACTTAATTAAAAAGAAAATAAATAAAAGGCAGTGCACTATGAGAAATTTCAACAAAAGAAACAATTAAAAACTGGACCACAATATTAAATTTAAGAGGGAAGAAAAAGAAAACTTCATAGATCGTGAGAAATGGAAGTTTGTCGGACCTGCTCTAGGTGTTTCATCTGTATCTGTTTAAGACTGGAGGCCTCGTCAAAAGACAACTGCTCTTTTAGGCGGGCCACTGCTGCTGCGTGAACCTCGTCAAGAGCAGCCTTGACCTCCTCCAGGTGGCCGCAACCATCTAGAGGACCTTCCATAATATCTGACGAGCCGCAACGACACAGAAGCAACTCGATCTAATGAAATACACATTATATTGTAAAATATTTCTATCTCAAAACTTTTTTTTTATAAGAATATCAACAAGCAAAACATTCCTTTTGCATAAAAATAAGCAGAAATTACACATATAAAAATTATATGTACACACCTCTTTAGCAGTAGCCTCTGCTCTACATTGCTTCAGTAGCAGCTCCTTCTGCACCACTTCTAACTCTAGTAATTTTTTCTGCTCCCGGAGAAGTTGCTCTTTTTGATCTATGGCCGCTTCAAGGGCCTGAACTTCTGCTTCTAAAGCAACTTTTTCACGCTCTGAGCCCTTTAGCAACAAAATGTCAGATCATGAAAGAGAAGTAACACAGCATGGTAAAAATTCTAACCTCAAACTGCTGCTGTGAGTGTGTTAGCTGTGCCTGCAGGTCACGCACTTTGACCTCCAGCCGCTTTTGCTCTTCCTCTACAGAGGAATCCAGAGAATGCTGAGAGTTTGCTACAGGTTCCCGCGACTCTAACTCGTGAATCATTTCATTCAGCTGTTCCTCCAGACGAACGGCCCAGCCGTTGGTATTCTCTGACTGCCAAAAGTCAAATTCTTGAAATTTTTTCATGGCAATCTTGTCTTATAGGTAAATGTATTTACAAGATTCAATTAGTGCAATAAAACAAAACCATGTTATTCACTGTACGTTATAGAAAAATTACACCGGAAATTATTGGAAGCACGGGTATAGGATTGTAGGTATAATTATTTGTTCCACAACAAACTCTTTCACGGCCTAGCATTTAAATTAGGTAATTTATCAAATAAAATCACTTTTTATTTACGGTTATTAATTAATTTTGAACATGATACATCCCAAATATACGTCATTCTGTCAAGCGATACTTGCATAGTTGCTGGCCATGGAATAGTTAGTCATGGAACAATTTATTGTACACCAAAATTGCAGAAAGAAAAGGAAAGAAAATCCTGACCTTGGCAGCTTGGAGCTCCTCACGCTGCTGTCCTAGTTTTTCAAGCAGAACAGCCGCCTCGATTCGATTATTAAGCAAGAGTGGGCGGTGTGACGTTTTTTGACGCTCAGCCCGCAGTGCTGCTTTCAGATCTGCAACCTCAGTTGCAAGCTGCTCGACTAGGTCTCGTAAGCCGTGACCGAGGGCACAGGCCAACTCGTCAGTAGCTGCTGCAGAGACCAGCCGTTGCTCAAGACGTGCCGCCCGTTCCTGACAAGCAGCCAGCTGAGTTGAAAATGAGGCTGCCTGTGCCTGCTGGTCGTTGGCCGCTGCCCAGGCAGCGGAAACCTCAGCACAGCTTTCCTCTAGTTTGGTGCCTATAGCTAAGAGGCCTGCCTCCAGGGTAGCCACTAGCTCTTCAAGATCAGATATTTTTGACCTAGAGCCAAATTACGACAATAATAAAATTATTAAATTTCTTCATTAAAACTACATTTGTTTGTAAAAAAAATTTAATTTAAAATGTTTGCATGTTTTGAAACTTTTTCTACATACCTGAGCAAAATTTGAGAATGTTTAGCATGTTTAAGCGAGTGCTGTAGTACAACAGCTTGTTTAGCCGCTGCCTCAAGGTCCTTATTATCTATGTGACGGCTACTGGCCTTTGACAGTTGATCCTCCAGCTGAACCAGCGCCTCTTGCAGGTGTCCCTTTTCATTTTCCAGCTGCCCAATCTTCAGTTCGTACTGATTTATCAAGAGCTAAAAGCAAGACAAAATAGAGTTTTTCTCTAATTTGATGAATACCACAAACCTTTGATCTAGCAACAGAGGCCGTGACTCTTTGCAGACCAGCAACCTGCTCTACAAGCTGCTTATTCCGCTGAGTAAGGGAGATTTTCTCATCAGCCAGAGTTTTTGTTCTTGCTTGCTCATGTTCAAGTTGAGTACTTAGACGACTGGCGTTAGCTTCAGCAGTGCGGAGACGTAGCGCCAGCGCTTCACACTGCTCCACCCAGCCAAGAACAGCTGTCTGTCCAGTGGGCATCTCTTCGGGTCGCACGCGAAGCCTTCCAATACCTCTCTCTGCCGCGTCCACTTCATTTTCAACCTCAAACTTTGCACTACTTTCTTCTTCTTCAACCTAAAATTAAAATGTTATAGCATTAAAAATAACTTCCTTTTACATTTTTGAATAACGTTCAAATCACATTATTTACAAATTAAATATTGAAGTCTGTGTATTGAAGGAAGCCAAAATTTGTGTATTTTATTATCAATTTTGACAAATGTTACCTCCTCTGGAATAACGTCCCTGAGATTGCTGTTCCTTGTGTAAAGTCGTTTAAAACGCATAGCCTCCTGCTCAGCAGCACGCCATCGGCTGTAGAGCAGCTCGGCCTCAGCTTCAGCATCTTGCTTTTCGTCATGGAGTCGCTCGCACTCGGTCGCCAGGGCCTTTGCACGAGTTTGCAGTCGCCCAAGAGCCTCCTCTGCGCCCTCAAGAGATTCAACCTTATTGTAGAGCTTAGCATTCTCTTCTCTAAGGATGGCCTGCTTAGAACGCAGCACTGCTGCTTCCTGGGTGCTCTTGGACAAAGCTTCTTTCAACTCCTCACCTTTTTCATTAGACATTGCGTCCAGCTGGACCTGAACAAATTATGATGAAATAAGCCAAAATATTTGTCTTAAATCTAACCTTGTCCAGGTGGTTTTGCTGAAGTTGGTTCCGAAGAGAATGCACCACATTTTCCAAAGACTGCTTGTCCTCAAGAAGATTGTGAATTTGCTTGTTGAGTGAAGGGGCCTCCTCTAGTGATATTCTCAAGGTTTCTAGCTCTGATTCAAGTTTGGCTAGGAGTTTTTTGTGCTCCGTTTCTGCTCGTTCCTGACTCAACCTTGAAAGTTGTTATTTTTATAAATTTCTCTTTAAGTTATTGATTCTAAATTAATGTTCTTCTTCAATAATTTAATAATAAGCCAATAGTTAAGCTTATTAAACTTACTTCCACTGCTGATTAATATTCCTTAGTTGCTCCCCAAAACGATTTTCGCTTTCCTCCTTGCATTTTAACAGATTCTTTTTGTTTTCCGAGATCAGATCTTCTTTATCTGCAGACAATTGTTCGCACCTTTGGTTGAGCACCTGAATTCCTTGTTTCAGTTCCTGTACCTACATATTCATTTCAATAATTTGTTAAAAAAAATTTTATTTGGTTCAAATAAGGGGACCTGTTTTGAGTACTGCATCACCAGTTGTGACCGCAGATTAGCCTCTTCAGCACGAGCAGCACCCAGTGCGTTTCTCAGCCCCTCGGCCACATGCTCGGCTTGCAGACGGCCATTCTGGGCAGCTAACAAGGCGGCCGCATCAGATCCAGACTCTATAAGAGCAGTGGCATTTTGCAGCTGGCCTTGCAGAAGTGCCACTTGCCGACCAAAATCAACAACAGCCGCCTCTTGCTCAGCCCTTGCTGCAGCCTCAGACATCAGCTCAGCATTTTTCTCTTTCACCTGACGTTCTAAATCTGCCAATTGGTTCTGCAACTGTACAATTACATGAATTAATTCACTAAAAAAGTCAATGTTTTATAAAATTTATAATCATGAATAGAAGCACTAAAGAAGAATAACAAACGTGATTCATCATTGCATTTAATTTCATATAATTAGATGTATGAAACACTAGCAAAAATTCATATAATATTAAAGCTAAAAATTATTTTGGCTTAAGATAAGAAAAACTTAAATTCTAATTTATAGGAACAAATCGCAACAGTAAAGGACATTTTTTTATTGATATTTATTGTAAGTTAAACTCACCATCAATATGATGTCTTCATTTGCATCTTTCTCCTCTTTGATTCCATTCTGCCGATCCATATACCGGCTTTCCATTTCTGTAACAAACTCCAAACGTCAGAACCAGCTGGTAATTAAATGCAAATTTACATACCATCCATCATCTGCTCGTACTTGTTAGCCCTGCAGACAAACTCCGCAGCGCTGTCGACACTTGACCTAGCACTGTCTGGCGGCGACGCGTCGCCGCCAGCGTCGCCGTCACCCCGATAATCGGTCTGTAAGTCAATGAAAGAATCAGTCAAGTGAGATCAACACACAGACTCGAGGGCCCCCTATCAAAATCCACTCGAGCAAAACGACAGCTGCCAAATGGAGCGCCGCTTGTCTATTTTTGTCTCCGGCCGCGTGACGAGGGTTGAAAGTGGGCCGTGGAACTTCTAGTGGCTTAATTAACCCCCAAGAAGACCGTTTCAACCACTTCACCTTGCCAGGTGGAAAAGCGGAGCTGTCGGGGTGGAAAATAAAAGGGAAAGGTTACCTTTCTCGGGCCCTCCTTGGGCCCAAAACCGCCCCACGGGTCTTGATCCATGTCAAGGAACTTTGAGTGGCATGTCTGATCGTCTTAGGGGGTCGTATCGGCTTCGGATTTGCTTTTTTCGGGTGAATTTGCAGTTCTCTAGCTAAAGTTTCAACCCTATGTTTACGATCGAACTGCTGGCTGGGGGTCTCTGGGATCTGTGATTGGCCACTGCTGTTCAAAGTGAACGCTGATTGGTTGCAGGTGAAAAAGCGCGCGAATCATGCCTGCATCCAAGGCTGCATCGGAGAAATGTCAAAATCGGCGCCATACGTCACGTGGAGCCATCTACAGGGCAACGAAAGAATAAATTTCAAATTTGTAAAGGGGTGTACAGATAGGAGAATTCGATTCTCTAGTTAATAGAACAAAATTGAAGAGACAATATTATAAAACTAAAAATTTAGAATATTATTCATTATTTTACAGCTGAATTATTTTATTTAAAGCGAAAATTGACTTATACCAGTAGTAGTTTGCAAGTACTTTGTTTCATTTCAATTCTCTTATAGTACACCCCAAGCAAAAAAGTCGTGTTGTCAAAATCAGTTGACAACATAACAAAACAACCACAGAACGAAGTGAACGAACGGAACGAACAGAAGAATGGCCGAGTCGGACTTGCTGTCTTCGTCGACGCTGGAGGCGAACACGACGGAGCCCGTGGGGGCCGGGGCCCGAACCCCGGCAACTCTTGAAGGGGCCGCCGTGGCCTACGGAAGTTTGGTGGTGATGGCCCTGCTCCCGATCTTCTTCGGTGCATTCCGCTCCGTCAAGCACCACAAGGAACAGCGGGTACGCGTGGCATACGCATTTCGCATATGGGAACTTTTTAATAAATTTATTTTTTCCTCGACAGGACTCTGGTGAAACGCCGGACATTATGTCCCATCGTGACGCAGCACTGTTTCCAATCGTCGCCAGTGCCGCCCTGTTCGGCCTTTACATCTTCTTCCAAATTTTCTCTAAGGAGTACATCAACCTTCTCCTCACCGGCTACTTCTTTTTCCTTGGAGTGCTCGCCCTGTGCCATTTGCTCAGGTTAATATATTTCACCCTTACATAACGATAAAATTTTTAGCAGAATTTGATCTTTCTATAAAACAACTGTTTGTACTAAATTTTCATTCTAAATGGATCCGTTCACATAATGTATGTAGCATACTTTTCTACATACTCTTGTATATTTTCGTATGTACAATCTTAAGATGAGAAAATATTAAAATATTTCTGTTATATAATCTTATAATTATTATGTTTAGAAATAGTTTCCTATTAATTTTTGTATTGATTTTTTGTTTCAATTTGTAGTCCCATCATCAGTTCATTGGTGCCAGCAGCCATTCCAAATGTGCAGTATAGGGTACAGATGACCAGGCTTCAGGGTAGTGGTATCTCCTCTGCTGATGAAGACCTTATCAACTACCAATTCAGCACCCATGATCTAGTTTGTCTGCTCTTCTGCACAGTCATTGGAGTGTGGTATCTGATGAAAAAGGTAGAATTTTCTCAAATTTGATTACATCTTTTTATTTCAATAATTTTTGTTATAAAGCACTGGATCGCCAACAATCTGCTGGGGCTGGCGTTTGCAGTGAATGGTGTCGAGCTTCTGGCTCTCAACAATGTGGCCACAGGAGTCACCTTGCTTGGTGGCCTCTTTGTTTACGACGTCTTCTGGGTCTTCGGTACTGATGTCATGGTCACAGTTGCCAAAAGCTTTGAAGCGCCTATCAAATGTATGTATATTTTGTATATGCTAATGTTAAATTGATTTTACTTACATTAATCGACATACATGAAAGATGGGATATAATTTTGATTCTTTTTTGCAGTGGTGTTCCCACAAGACATTTTGGAGAACGGTCTCGCAGCCAACAATTTTGCCATGCTGGGACTCGGCGACATCGTCATTCCAGGCATTTTCATTGCCCTGCTCCTCAGATTTGACTACAGGTTTACAACATCTTATTTAATCACTGAAAGACGTTTAAAATTTTATTTTTCTAGCCGATCTCCAGGAAAGTCGCACTTGTACTTCGCCACAAGCTTCCTGGCCTACATCCTGGGAATGGCGGCCACAATTTTTATAATGCACGTATCTAAGCATGCACAGCCAGCCCTGCTCTACTTGGTGCCAGCATGTGTTGGCGCCACACTCGGACTGGCTGTCCTTCGAGGAGAAACCAAAATTCTCTTCCAGTGAGTATGAAAAATTTGCTTGTTGTTATTTGACTGAAATTTCCATAATAGATACGAGGACTCCCCTTCAAAAGAGGTAACAGAAGGCGATAACAAGGCAGACAAGAAAGAAAAGTGAATCCTGAACAATCTTATGGACTTGTTAGAACTATGAATGAATGTTTTGCTGCGCTGTGTAAATATCCAGTCTGTTTTTTGTTTTGTTGGCGACATCTCTTTTTACTGCATTATTTGTTCATCGCAGAACCAAGTTCTGACTTACAAAATTTTATTCAAAAAGATTCCTACCTAAATGAACTGCACAAGATGCACCTTAAGAGTGTTTCAAATTCCATTGACCGACAGTATATTCGTCAGCCGCGATCAACTAAATGCACATTTCCGTCTAATACCTTAACAGTTCATTTCCCCCATAAGAGAAAAATGCTTCTATTTTTTATTTCAATAAATGTTATGAGCTGAATGTCAACTCGTTATTTTCTTAAATATATTAAATAACCCAATGCTGTAAGCATGCAACTTTTTCATTCGTTAGCAAAAAAATTAGAGACCTGAGCCACGCAAGCCGGGCATTTTTTGCCACTCGTGATCATCCGCCAGCCGCAGCTGAAGTTGAGCCAGCCGCTGACTATTTTTCAATAATTTTTTTACTATCCTTACAAAAAATATTGAATTTCGTATTTCAAAAATTTGAGGATAATACAAAAAAAATCGCGCTTTTTAATTGTAATAAAATTGTTAATAAAAAAATTTTAAAACAAAAAAATTGTTAGTCAGTCGCGACCGATCAGAAATTTGACGGCTCAGCCAAAGCCAGCCGCCGCCTAAAAATCGCGCGGCTGAGGTCTAAAAAAAGGAATGCACTTCATAGGTACAACCTCAGCATACTGGGGCAGTAATGAAGGTTGAACAAATTCTACACTTCAGACTTATTTGCTTAAGATACTATGCAAAGACTGTGAGAAGCCTACAAAATATTTCAACCTCATCTAGATCATTTCCCAACATATTATTTCTCACAAAGGTGAAATTTCATCTCACACATACTGCACATTGACTCACAGGGATATAAGACAAATTAATAAGAACCAAGAAATTGAAAAGAATAATTGAATATATTTCAATGTTTAGCAACAATGCACATTACATAGAATATCTTTTCAAGTATTAAATTAATCAATTAATCCAAAGTACGGGGAACGGAATATTAAAGTTTTCAAGTGCGGAGATACTGGTGAAAAATGAAAATTAGCGCTGGACGAAGACTCGCTCGCATTCCAGAGGCACGTGTTTCCTTTCATTCAAAAGCAGCAGCTTTCTCAGGTGTAGTTTTGAGTAGCAGAGGAGAAGAGGATTGATATATAATAAGAGAACGAGTGAGCGCATAACCTACGAACTGATCTAAGGGGACATAAGTGGCCGAATCAAATTGCATGTCCATCACAGAGGGTCGCGGTAAAGAAATGCAGAGCGCGCAAATCAGCCTTGGGGCAGCGAAATCAACAAAATCGCTTTACTTCGCCTGGTTACACTCGTGAGAATATTAAATTAAGAGAGATTATGCTTCTTCCAGTTCATAACGGTCGCAACTGGTGCAATTTCATTTAATACTCCTCCTCCGCATCTTCAGGGGGTGCAAAGCCATCCTGCACAAATACGAACCAAAGGGTCAAGTACTTCTTAACCGATTTGTTCAGTTGTTACCTCAGTGGCATAAAGGATCTGGGTGATTTTGTCAATAATGGATGAGTCGCCTGGCGTCGCCTCCTGACACAAAACCTCGATGTCCCGCAGCTTTCCAAAGTAGAAGTCGCGCTCCTTCTCAAGGGCCTCAGTAGTTAACTTCATCTCTGCCAGCTAAAAAAAATTTTGACTTCAATAAGATTATTATAAACAGATAATTATATGATTATAAATAATTTCTGAAAATAATATTTTAAAAAATTTAAAAATAGCTTTCAATTGGGGCAATAAAATTAAAAAAAAGTTTTAATAAAATTTATGAATGTAAGCAAAATTAAATAAGTTTACACTAAATAAACATTAAAATGAAACTATTATTGAAATAGATGTATTAAATTGACTTGATAAAAACTTTAAATTAAAATTATTTCAAATGAAATTATTTTGTAATAAAAAAAATTACTTATATGGACCCAAAACCCACCGAGACCCACTGATACCATTGGTCCCGACCGGTCTCGAGCACAATCTCGATGGGTCTCACGTCCGACAAGCGTTTTAACCTTTATTTGACTTTTGTGTGATAGAAAAGTAATTTGAAATTATAGTGTCCTTCAGCAAAAGTGGTGATATTTATGTTTTTCATGTACCTGACTGGTGAGTTCTGAGAGTCTGCTATCGGCAGCGCCTCCGCCCACAGCAGGGTTTGACCTTCTGAGTGGCTGAATCCTGGAGGGCGCATCACCACTGACCTTCCTGGCCGCCGGAGCGCTGGGGGCAACTGCAGTCAGCTTAGGTTTGGCGTCAGGGTTGGCCGAAGTGCTTGGAGCAGCTCCAGCTTCATCTCTGGCCGCAATCGGATCATAGTGCTGACCTGCGTAGTTGGCATCGAAGAACTTCTTGAACCACTGCAGGAACTCAAAGTTGTCTTGGAAACGTCCCTTGACCAGTCGGTCAATTGGGATGATCTAGAAACGAGGAAAATGTAAATGGACGGGCACATGTATTTGTAACGTAACAGGATGGGAGTTCAGTGATTGGAAATGTGATGCCTTTGTATAATTAATACCAGCAAGTGCGGTTCTTTATTGCTATCAAATTACTGGTATGACGACATAACTTCACTTTTTCATTGCAGACAGCAATGCTATAGGATAATTTCAAGAAACTGATTAAAAATTATTCAAAGAACAATACTTTTTTTAATTGTTTATCCCTCTTCGGAAAGGCACTAGCAGTAGCAGACAGGAATAATTTTATTTTTTTGCAAAATCAAATTAATATATTAAAAAATCTTGATTTGAAGCCCATTTTACAAAGAAATTGTTGATAGAAACTACATAAAGTAGGGATAAATATAAATATAGGTGGATATGTCAGCCACCACTACAATTTTTTTAATAGAATAAAAATTTATGAGCTCAATGCTCATAGAGCTAGAAGTTTCTGTTCCGGCTCATAAGCTACAATACAATGTTGTTTAATTTTATAGCTTAGTGCCTTCAATATCTAAATCGTAATATTTTGGAAATTTAATTCATCTATTCACAAATCTAATTATCAATGATTATATTTAATATTTATCAAAAAAATAATTTAATATTTATCAAATGAAAAACTTGAAAAAAACAACCATTATTGAAAGGAAGCGGTTTCTAGATTGAATTATTTATGTTCATACTTTATCAACGTTCATCTTCTTGAAGGAACCCTGCAGAACCTTGAAGTTCTGGATGTATTCATGCTCGAGATTGGTGCGGAACTTAATTTTCTTGAGCAGCACACTGCCCGGAAAGAGCATGTGCATGAACTGACAATACGCAGCCCCTGTGCACAACTCCTCGATCTTGCAGTAGCCAAGCTGCAGACAGTCGTTGACCCAATTGAGCATCTCATGCCGACTCAGGTTCTCCGTTGTCACATTGGTCGAGTACACGTTGACGGCCATCTAAAGAAAAAAAATGCCGAAATTAGTCATAGGAAGCGAATAGGTGCAAATTGAGAGATGGGTTGGGTCGGGTGAGAGAGAAGCTTCTCGCACGTGATTTTTTTAGTCACGTCTAGAGGGGCCAAGGGACACGGGGCTCAGGGTAAGCGGAAGGGTCACAGGCGAGCCTACCATCCTGCAATCCAGCTGCCGAGCAAGCAGAAAAAAGCGAAAAATTCTAGATTATAGCGGTTTGTGAGCGGCTTCAGGGCCAACATGGCGCCGCCGCGGATCGCCGATCGGCGCCGTCCGCTATCCAAAAGTTGGCTGCGAACGGAACTCGAAATGCGGCGATCTGAGGCAGAACTTAATTGGCATCAAACGGGGGCACCGACACTCACCTTGCGGCTGCCGAGAGGGTGGAATGCGAATGTCACAAGCAGCGAGCGTTCTCGGCGCGGTGAATCCGATGCAGCTGTTTACGCACCAGGCACACAGCACAGCGCTCTGCGACTCTCTTTTGTTTCTAGACGCGCCCTGACTGTTTGTGGCGCCAATCAAAGATTTTTTCTCGCAATTATTTCTGCAAAAATCGAATGATTAAACGATTACATATATAGTCATTTTTTACTGATAGTTTTTTATTCTTAATATTATAACTTTACATCACTTTACGTTTATCCTTTTTTGTTTCAAAAAAAAAAAAAAAAAAAAAAATTTGATTGCACACTTGTAATTTTTTAGACTGAATATTTCGAAAAATAATTATACAAATCTGACTGAAACTATAAAATAGTTTATTTAACTTTTAGCATTTGTTGTACTTTTCATCCCAATCCAACAACCCCTTTAAAAAAATCATTAAATACACAATAAAATATTAATTTATATTTACTTTTTATCGTTTATATTTTGCAGATTTTTGTTTTTGGGATTGTGTCTCTTAAAGAGAAATATTTTTCATATTTTTGTCTGACAACAATTTGAAAATGCGCGTGTATTGGCTTGCATAATTGTAAAGAGAAATCTCAATTGCATTCATTTAATGCTAAAGGTTTATTCACAAATGATTTCACTTTATTTTTATCCTAGACGCAAATGCATGTTTTTAACAATTATTATTTTCTTCAATTATTATAATTTTACTTATTTTTGTATGCTAATAAATAATAAACAGGTAGTAAAAAACGGTAAAAAATGCTATCAATAAAACCTTTTGTAAAGTAAAATTTAAAATTGTTCAAATTTTTAAATTATAAAGCTGAATTATTATAGCACTAAAACTTTTTATTTTAAGAGTGGCGACTCCTTTTTTTATAACTTTCTTACATTTAACTTTAAGTGTTATAATATATTATTTTGATTATTACCATTTCTTTCCAACTTTGTTTTATCATAAAATAGCTATGGATATTTGTAATTTTTCTTTTTTCATGCAAGAAATATTACGCATGTTCAAACAATAATTCAGTCGAAATAAATTCATACACAATAACAAAATATTTACAATTAACAGCTAGAGTTCATCAAAGGACTAAAGGACAACCTGTTGCTTCTCTCGTCAAACTTGAAAGAAATCAGGGATATATTCGTGGATGGGGGCACTGGAGATCAAGAAGTTACTCATCAGGTGTGCAATTCGTGCTCGGCGCCCACCAATGACGACGCTCGCGTGCTGCTAATTGCAATTAACGTGCTCGCACCTGGCCAACACCTGGCTTTGGAGAGGAAAGGCAGGTGAGGGAAAGCCCGAAACTCGTCGTTCCACTTCGCGCCTCACGCGCTGGTGGCGCTGATCGCTGGCTAACGCGATTGGTCCAATGCTCTTCTAACCAATGGCAGAGCTGCTTTTCGTGGCGCATGCGCTCTTACACCAGCACCGCCCACTCTGCCGCCGAGAGACGCCTGCGAAAATGGAGACGTTGTTTGTCAGCTGAGCCGCACGTCGTCTAAAAGCCGAATTTTTGAGGTCCGATCAACGTCACGAGGCCTCTAGACCGTCGTCGCCGACGTAGGTGAGTGCCCCCAACAACCTCCACTAGTTGCCGAAGCCCACCGGGGCTTTTAAACCCCTCGGAGAGCCGCATGCCGAACTCTCCTTGGGCCCCGCAAACTATTCACGGCTATTTTGAAGGGCTTTTGATTTTCCAATACGAGATTTTTAGTCTTTAGAGGTCTCTAGTATTGTCCGAGATGTCCGTGGATAATTTTTTTCTGAAAGTAAAATTGCAACATCAACGCGTCCGGATGGAATTCGGCATTGTTTTCGGCTTTGGGGTTTCAGTCCCTGGGGGAGGGGGAGGTAGGTTGCTCGACGGCATTCTCGGTCGGTCGACGTTCGGTCAGACGAGGGGGGGTCGAGAGGAGTGGCGACGTCGCCAATGGTTGTGCGAGCTACCTAGGGCGCCTTCTCTCTGGGTGTTGAGCCGTTCGTTCCTCTCCCACCACCGTGCCTCTCTTCTGCCGACGGTCGCCGCCTTTTGTTTATTTTTTATTCTTTTTCTCTGCCTGCCTGCCTGGCCGAAGCATTTTCATGCGAACAATGCCTATACCGCTCGTGTTTCACTCAATTTGCAGAAGGGAGCAGTAAAATTTATTCTCATAACTTTTTTGCTTACATAAATGAACTTATTTTTCTATTATTAATAATATTATTTAAAACCTCCATGAAATAAAACAATGGAGAAAATATGTCCATAATTTCTATTAATTATTGGATTGAATATCCTCGTTTGGTGGCTTGCTGCTTGGTTGTGGTAAAGTAAAATATTAATAATCTGTAATATAATAATAATATTTTTTATTGTGGAAATACATCAAATTGTTTTTATTCCACTTCCTTTACATTAAATCTCAAATCTCAAAATACACAATATTATTGAAATAATTTGCAAAATTTATGTTATTCTGCTAAGATGTTGTTAGAATTGAATAATTTTATGTAAGAATCCTTAAAAAGAATTATTCTGAAGAGTGTTTTAAATATTTATTTCAACTTTCAAAAATAGAATTTGCATTTTTATAATAATTTTATTTCATTCCATTAATCCCCTAGCTGTGAATTACGTGTCCTTTTTATTTCACGTACGTAATTTTAAAATTTAAGTGAAAAATTTTATATACTTTCTTCCTCCCCTATAACACCCTATTCGTCCGAATGGGTAGTTTGGAAGGGAGGTCAACTCAACTAAGCAAGCAGCTGTGAACCAAAATTGTTTATGTTCTCAGGTTGAAGCGCCTTGCTAGCGATGAACCCTGAACTGAACAAAAACCCCGGGGGTCCGGAGGCCCCCGGTGAACAGCAGCACCAGCAGTCGGTGCAGCAGCAGCAGGGGCCGGCCGAACCCCAGCAGCCCAAGGTGGGCACCCCGCAGCCGTCGCCCGGCATGGCCTCGCCTACAATGGTTTCCCGCGGGCCCACTATGTCCCCGATGACCCCTCAGCAGCCTTTACAGGTGAGCATTGAGTGAAAGAAAAATCAAGGAGCCCTGATGCCAAGTGACAAAAGTTCTCCTTGCAGATGCAGATGGCGCAGCAGCAGAACCAGCAGGCCATGCAGCAGAGCCAACAACAGGCACCCTCGCCTCACCAGCAAGGGCCCCCAATGGCCCAGATCAGCATTCAGCAACCTCAGCAGCAGCACCCGATGGCGCCTCCTCAGCAACAGCAAACACAGCAGTCGCTCGAACAGGCTGCTGCCGTTGCGCAGCATCAGCAAGGGATGCAACAGGTCTTTATTAATTCCTTGATAAACAAATTTATTTTGCCCTTTGAGAAACTTCTTATTTAAAATCATTTAAAAAATTTAATACTTATTTTAAAGTTGAACATAGAGAGAATTAATAAAAAAAATTATCATTTAAATTGTATAATAAGAAGTACCCAGCAGCTAAAATGAAAATTGCTTTTTCAAATAGTTTTGCTAAAATGTGATAATATTATTTAATTTTAATTTTTCCCTCCGTAGATCCAATTGATTCAGCAGCCACAGCATAACCAAATGTACGTCCAGCAAGTTTACAACCCTGCAAACGGACAGTTTCTGTTGCAGCCAGCCAACATGGGATCTCCCATTCAGGCAAGTGATTCTCTTACAATTCTCGAAATATTTTTTTTTGTACTCTTCTGTTTCTTCATAAATTATTCAAAATTGCGCCATGCCATCACCGTTGCCTTATTTATATTTTTTTCATTTTATTTGCGCTTGAGCAGAGCGTTCCAAACGTGTTGCAGCTGCAATCCAAGAACTCGATGGTGCCCCTGCAACACAACAAGCTGCCCGCCGGCCTACTGCCCACCACCCAGGTCTTTCTTTCTCTCCATTGCTGAGCTCGCTTTGGTGGCTGGACAGCTGCTGCTTCCCTGGGACCCCCAAACACTGTCCCCGCATGTCCCAACTTGCCCCCCGCATGCCTTGTTGTGCACCCTCGCTCACACAACCAAAATAGCACACTTAATAATTTCTAGCGTTGATTTTATTCCTGTGAAAATGTCGGTCCTTAGGTTGTTTATTCAAAATTTTATTGAATGACAGGACATTTGAAGTAAGTCATCTTATAACTTGCTAACATAAAAATCCTTTTGATATTGGACGTCAGCTATAAATTTTTGACCAAATAATTATTTAGTTCCCATTCTTATAGTACAACTATGAACTGTCAAAATGTAATGAAGAATATTTTGCCAGTTTTTTTTCTCTCGAGCGAGGTTGCATTTGGCTGAAAAACAAAGCTATAACAGGCAAACTTACAGGGGTGGGTTATTATCACTGGCCAGACAGCTTCCGGCAAAGGTCACCAGATTCTCAAAGAACTGCTGTTGATGTTTAATCTTGTTAGAACCCTTTTTGCAATTTGAACCAACATTTTGTAGTTGGCACTGTGTGTTTCCAGTACAAATGAGTTTGGTATTTCGCGCCAGGTTGTGATTTCGTAGGTGCAGTTTCGAACAACTTTGCTTTTGCATTGCTTCTCACCTTTATTTACTGCCTAGATTTTGTTTTATTTATGACTGACTTTGATGTTTGCCCACAGGTGATTGCCTCTCCGGGCAAGCCATTCCAGCATATGCAGTTCACGCCACAGATCATCACTGCCCAGGGCAAACAAATGCTTCAGCAGGGACAGACAGGTTAGTTGTTTTGTGGTTATTTGTTGTGATTTTGTATACCAACTGTTCAACTTTTGCAGCCTCGTACCCTAGTTATGCAACCATCCCGAGTAGCTCAAGTCAGACTCTGGTTCTACCTATGGGCGTTCTTGCTGGACAGCCCAACCTTATTTCGGCAGCTCAAAATGCCCAGCAGGCCAAGCAGGATATGTCCAAGGTGAGATAAATTCTAGGTGTTGACACAATTAAAAATTCTTATTTTACAAAAAATTATTTTTACACTTCCAACAATCATGAATATTTATTTTATCAAAAAAAGTATAAATTTCAGCAGCATACGGCAGTAAGCAAGGCCGGTGTGCAACAACAGGGTGTCATGCAGCAGCCGCACCTGATCACTACACAAGCGCCTATGATCAACAGCCAGGGCCAGATTGTAAACCCCATCCAACACTATCAGGTGTACAACCACGGCATGCCACAAGGAATCTGGACCTCTGGCAACCTACCCCAGAACACAGTACTGCAGAGTGCCCCTGTCTACATTCGTAGTATGCAGGCTGACGGCAGCTCTCTTTTCATCCCTCAAAATGCGCCTCAACAATCTATGCAGCAGCATAATCGTAACAAATTTGCATTGATTTTCTAACCAGATTGATAAATCTGCTCAATTTTAGCTGCTGCAGCAGCTGCAATGCAGCATGGAGCACCAGGAAACGTCCCTGGGACTCCAGCGCCTCCTCCTCCCATGCAGCAGAAACCAATGCGTCCTGAAGTGCCTGCCAACATCCAGCCTAAGATTACTCAACGAAACCTGTTGCCCTCTGACATCCGACCCTCCGTATCCACACAGACTGCTGGTGCTCAGGCCAAGGTCAGTTAACAGAGAAAAATAATTTGTTTAATTAACGTTAATTTGCCTTCTGTTAATTAATAGCAGCAGGGAGGCAAAATTCGTCAAAAAATGGCCCCTCGAGTGCCGGTACCTGGCCGACCAGCCAAGGGCGACGAGTTTCAGCAAAAGATGCAGCAGATAGTTGACCCTCAGCAACCGCAACCGCAGCCTCCTCAGCATCAGCAGCATCAACAGCAACAAATTGTGTTTAACAAGTAAGTTGATTACAACATGAAATTAAAATTATTGAATGACTTTAGTGCAATTTATTTCCCTGTAATTGTTTTGTAATTCTGTTTTAAATTAAATTTTCTAATTTAAATTAATTCTGCAGCAACCGCTACATAGTAAATACTTTGGGACCACCGACTCAATCCCCTATGGGTCCCGGCATGCCCCCAGGAGTGGGGGTGGCGCCAATGATGGTTGCAACGAGTGTTGACCCGAAAAGTATGCCAGGACCAATGGCCGGAAAGGTCATGCCTATTGCTCTCCCACACCAGATCCCAAAGATTCTGCCCCCTACAGCCACTCTTGTGCCACCTCCGATGCCTCCTGCCCCACCTCACATGATGATGGCGGCACCCCCAGCTCCAATGCCTCCAGTTTTAGCACCACCCCCTCTGCCAGTTGTGCCTGCAAGCAAGGAAGAAGCTCCGACGATGGACAAGGAAACAGCAAATGTCGAACCAGCCGTGGAGCAGCAAGATGATAAAGAAGGTGTGTTTTGTTTATTTTAAGCCCAATTTAAAGATTTCATTCTTGCCCTTTACTCTTTTTAGTTAAGGATGATAAAGAGATGAACGGTGACGTCGAAATGAGCGAAGATGTCAAGGATAAGGGAAGACTGAAGGCAATGGTGAAGCCGCAGCCACACATCCTCACTCATGTCATTGAGGGATTTGTTATTCAAGAAGGTTGATAATGCAATTAAAATTTTTGGCTTATTTTTCAAATTGTTTTTCTATTTTGCAGCATCTGAGCCGTTTATGATTGCAAGACACCAAGAACAGACAGGCCAGATTTCTGACAAGGAGAACCATGTAAACGGATCTGTGGAGACAGACCGTAAGAAATTCTGTCTTGAAATTCCTATTTTTCTCAATATGTTAAATTTTGCAGAAGTTGGTGCCGCGGTGCGGAACAACCTGGCTGTCTGCGAATTCTGCCATAAGACGGACGTCGCCAACAAGTTCAAGAAGTCGAAACGCTTCTGCAGCACTTCCTGCTCCAAAAGGTGAGTTTTCAATTTCTGCCTGCCACCACCTGTTGAAAGTGATTTTCACACAGGTACAATGTCAGTTTCAGCAAGAGGTGCATGGGCGAGGATGGAGCGTCACCAGCAAAGAAACCTGCCACCGAGACTGACCTCAAAAACCCAGTAAACCCACTGATATTTATTATTTATTCCCATATTGTTTTATATCTTAACTAGAACTAGAATTCACAAGAACAAAATATTAAATTAAACTATGTCCTTATTAAATTTCATTTTTTCTTTGAACTAATGTATATTATTGTATTATTTTTTTATTTGTGAATTTATAAATTTCAGAGCGCCAACACTGCTACAAATGATCTCATGGGTGCATCGCCTGCCCATGGCGGTGCAGACGACAACTCTGTTTCGGAGTCTTTGATACCTATCCACGCTGGGTCGAATCCAATGCTTTGGTCGGTCAAGGAAGTTTGCGATTTTGTACAAAGCCTACCTGGCTGTGCAGAGTTTGCAGAAGACTTCCGCCTGCAGGAGATTGACGGACAGGCGCTGATGCTGCTCAAGGCCGACCACCTGATGAGCGCTATGTCCATTCGACTGGGACCTGCACTCAAAATCTGCTCGAAGATTGAGCAGCTGCGCGCACTGGTGCCCGTTGAAAATGTCGCCTCATAATTTGTAAGAACTGGACCTTTATATTGTGCAAACTCTCCGTACCTTGTTGGGCGGCTCTTTTCTACTCCTCATCATCTGATTTTTATTACTTTGAAATAAAAAAGTAAAAACATGACCACTGTAACCCTAAATATTTTTATTGTCAGCGGGTACCATATGAAGTGTTTATTGGAAAAAAATCAAAATAATCAACTCTTATGGAAATAAAAACTGGATGGTGAGCATATGTCAAGAGTATTCTAAAACTCTTAAAGAAATTAATAGGTTCGACCGCCGCTAGGTGGCCTGCCAACATTGTATTATTTTCAATACATAACAAACAAACTGTTAGGAATAATATTTGCTCCAATTAGCATACAAACGAATTTAAAACTATTTCACCTTGGTCATTTTGTGTTATTGGAACACGAGACCCCTCTGCCACAGAAAAATACAATGCCGTCGGCTATAATAAGCCCGAAAATGGTGAAAAATAGGGAAAAACCGTAGGGTTGTTGACCTGGTGGGGCCACAGTAGTGGCGCCCCCAGACGGACTCAGGGTCAAACAGGGGCGGCGCACGCGCGCTCCTTGCTGCTGAGTTCAGTCGCCACTCGGATGCAGGCAGAAAATGGCGTCTGCAAAGTTTCTCGAGGAAGCCCTGAACAATGACGTCGACGAGTCGGCCGTAAACGCGATCGTGGGCTCCCTGGAGACGCAGCTTGGTTCGGCGGGGGCAGTCGGAGGCGGCGCCCCCACCCCCGGGCCCACAGTCGCGGTCCCCGGTGCCGTCGCCACGGCTCAGCTCAACGGGCCCGCCAAGCACAACGGGGCCCCGGACATAAACAACGGCGAGCCAGCAAGACCCCTAAAGACTGAGCCGCCGACGGTGAACGGCATAGTGACGCCGCCCACCCCCGTTGCCACCCCCGCACCAGCAAAGCCCCCACCTGTGATCAGCAACGGCGCCACCAAGACGGTGCCGCCCCCGCCGGCCCTTGTGCCTGCTGCCGCCCCCACCATGCAGATCCTCAACGTGAACCCTATCCGAGCGGCGGCCCCCAATGCCGCCCCCGGAATTAACCCTGGGGTTATGCAGAAAGGGGTGCCGCAGCGGGTAGTCATCGGCACCCAGCAGATGGTCGGCGCACGTCCTGGACAACCTGGGGTACGCCCCCAAACCCTAACCTTTGCTGGAGGATTTTTGTCCCAGACGTTGTTTTCATTGGTCAAAAAAATTCACCCTTTCAATAGCCGGTCTCTGATTGGTTTGAGAATTTCGATTTGTTTTGATATGACTATGACAACACTCACCACTGAAGTCAAAATATTTACTCTTACTCTCTTACTCATGGTCAGCGTTACTATTTTGTAACTGAACTTCTGGAAATAATTATTCTATTCCACAATTATTTTTCTATGTCTAAAGATTTAAATTTTTTTTTTTCAAAATAATTAATCAGAAAAGTGTTTTATAGGCTGCATCAGGGCTGCATGATATGATATTTAAAGATCCTTTCTTAACTTGTCACCGATCCATTTTCTAAACAATATCAGATTGAATTTCAACTTTCCTTATTATATCAATAATACTTATGTTGTAGTTTCAATTATATAAAAATGAGCACCACGAACCAGACCACTATTAAAGAATTATTTATCCACTGAGAGATTACATTCAAATCATGCTAATGCCACTTAAAAATTATTATTTATTTATGATTGCCAATTTCCTCCTCAATTTTTAATATGCAAATTTGTGAGCTCCCCAGTAATTTTTCTCCCTTTTGCAGCAAATCACCCTTCAGGCAATACCAGGTCTGCAACCTGGCGCGCAGGGTCACATCCTGGTCAAAACAGAGAATGGGCAGCTGCAGTTGTTGCGCGTAGGCAGCATCGGACCAGCCACGACTAATGCACAGGGAACATTAACTCAAGCAGGAGCCCCTGGAGCAACGACTACCTACCGCCTCCAGTCTGTGCCAGTTTCGGCCGCCCCAAGACCAGGAGCACCTATGCAGCAGGTCGCCACAGCACCGCAGGGTGTCAGACTGGTAAAATATATTTGAGTTCAGCAGAATATCATAGACCCGATTGCATCATCATTTTTATGAGTATTGTAGTTTTGAAGGAGTTTTCGTTAGTTATTTTTATGTGTTTGATTTTAGTGTACATCGTGAAATTCTTAAATCTAAAGGAGTTATTTTGAATTTATTTAAACAGAAATTTACTTAATCAGTTTAAGACTTGCATATTCGAATAACGCAAATCCATCAAATTATTATTTTCATATTTTATTTAAATATTCCGTTATTTTTTTATTCTCATTTTGTTTACCTTGTCTAAATACTGTCATTTTTTCCCAGGTGACCGCAGGGACAAACTTGGCCGGTGGCGTTGCAGTGACGCAGGGCATCGTGCAGCCACAGCAGCAGACGGCCGCGCAACTGGCGCAGGTACGTTGCCCGTCGTTCCTCAGCGACGATCCGGCGCGATTCTATTTCAGCTCTGAAAAGACTCGTTTGCAGCCGTGGGGGCCCATGGTGGGTCGGCCTCCAGCGCCGCCTCCGCGTCCTGCGTGGGCGGCACCCCCAATGATGGTAAATGCGCCCTCCACGCTCCCCTCTGCAGCCTGTCAATAACCAAACACTCATGTTGCTTTTTTAGTGCTGTAGAGAGGCGCAGTGTAGAAATTACTATTGGATGGTGAGCCAAGACCGAGTCAGAACACTGTTTTTATTTTCACTTGCACTTCTTTGCACTCGATAGGAGATTCACTTCCGTCCCCACCTGCTTTCCCGCCAAATTATTCTCTTTATCCCCTGACGCCTGGTAAACATAACCTTGGGTCGCTTTCGTCCCAATTTTTCAGCCCTTCCAGTGTTTTCCTGCCAAAATTAGAAATGTTAAGTTTATTTTGTTGCATCAAAAATGGAAGGTGAATAACAATAATCAGCAAAACAAAATCTTCCTGAAAATAATGTTTAATAAGTCTTGATAAGTCTGCATTATTTGATTCAATTTGTGCAAACCTTTTTTTGCAGTGAAAATATTCTCTTGGCACTTATATTTGTTTTCGTTCAAACACCTGTTTTGAACTTCCCATTTAAAAATCCATCCAAGGGGCCTTCGATTAACAAAAATCCTTAGAAATTCCATAAAAAATATGGAAGCTTTTTAGAGTTTCCAATGGGAAAGCAGTCGCGCGCGGGCACCGTGTGAGCTGTTGAGCAAGGATTTGGATTTTTTATGTTTTTTTGATGTGGTGGCGCACAGGCAGGTGTCAAAAGTACGTGTGTTGGTGTCGCGCAGCAGCCGCAGCAGTGTGATTAACTCTCTTGTCGCTTGTTGAGCCGCTCTCATGTTTAAATGCAAAGACCCAAACTAACCCTTTCTTCACCTTTTGCAGAAGCAGGCCGTGGACTCAACAAAGGAAAAGTGCCGCAAGTTCCTGGCCAACCTGCTCGAACTTTCGAGTCGCGAACCGAGACAAGTCGAACGCAACGTGCGCACCCTCATTCAGGAGCTCATCGACACAAAGGTTTTTAAAAATACTATCATTTTTATCTTAACATATTTGAAGTCAAATTAGCCAATACAATTTCTCTTAAAACTTTTAATTTTAATAGGAAATTACTTTTTGGAAGGTTTTTAAGAATTGAAATTTCTCTATGTGTTGTACATTTTTTTTTTTTTTGCAAATTAGTGACCTTCAATCAGCCTTGTAAGATGAATTTTTTGTTTCCTTGTTGGTTTGCAGGCAGCCATTCTCTTTTATATAAATAAAGAGATAAAATTTGTGCATAATATTACTAATTTTAATGTCCTAGAAGAAAGAACATGTTTTGTAATGTGCTTTTTTTTAACTATACAGGTGGAACCCGAAGAGTTTTGCGATCGACTAGAAAAACTTCTAAACGCGTCGCCGCAGCCGTGCCTAATTGGTTTCCTTAAAAAGAGTTTGCCGCTTTTGAGGCAAGCGCTGATAACTAAGGAACTGGTCATCGACGGCATTAGGCCGCCACCAATGACTGTAGTCTATCAGTTGCCCCAGGGTGGACTTGTCATGCCCACCACCCTTCAGGTTTGATTTCTTTTTAATCACTTTCTTATTATAAATATTTATTTTCGGGAGAGTAAAATTAAAATTGATTTATACATTTAAAAATATAAACTAGATATCTGTTTCCGTTTATGAAGTTTTTCACAAATTTTTCTTATGATCAAGTTAATTTTTATCTAAATAAAAATTTAAGCTATTATCTTCGTGAGAAAAAATACGTAATAAAATATTTTATTTTTATGATCATTTAGTTTCTCGTTTGATAGTAAAATATACTTCTTAATTTTTTCCTCTCCACCGTATCTTTCTATCAACTTAAAATGATTGGGGTGTGTGAATTCCAGGCGCGTGGTCCTGGAACACAGGGACAGCAGATAAGACTGCAGGCAGCGCCTACGCAGCTGACGACGCAGGTCCGTGTGATGGCGCCGATGAACGCAGCAGGCGTCCGAGCACCCATGCAGCACCGACTTGTGACGGTGAGTGCCCCAGGCGCCGCGTCAACAGCCTCCACCACCACCACCGTGCGCCTGACCACAGTAAGAGACCCTCAGGGTCGCATCTTCGCTCAGCATGAGTTTCAAATTCTCGAGAGCATGCTAATTTGTAGAATATTTGTTTCTACTTGGTTTGGTTATAACTGTGGTTCAGGTAAACCCGTTATGTCTAACTAGCCTTAGGTCTATAGGCAAAACACCGGCTGGGGTTTCTCCTATAATTTATTTACTTGTTCAGGAAATTAGCTTTTTTAATTGCTGGCTTAATTTTGTATTTCATTGTTCCATTATTGACTGATTGTTTATTAATTTATCAGATATTTAAAGCAATCACCTATCTTATGTTTATCTCATAATTTTTGTATTCTATTATTTTAGATTCTATTAGTTTTAGATATTTGATTTATTTTTCATTCTTCAATATTTTTTTTTATTTTAAGAAATAGAATGCTTGAATATTAGGTTGAATAATATTTTCTGAGGTTTAGTGGTCATGTCAGTTGTAGAAAGATTACCTTCAAACCCTTTTTCTCTACTGCTAGTAGTTTAAAAATTCCCTGTTAAATATACATACCTCTTTCTGACCTCTAATTTTTATTCCAAAATCAGCCTACAAGGCCAATGGTTCCTGGGAAGATGGCCTCACCAATCACTGTTGTTCGAGGCCAGGTGCCTTCGGCTGCGACTACGACCATCAAAACGATGCCTGCCTTGTCCAAGGAGAAAGAGAAAAAGACGTTCTCTTCATCTGGTTATGCGTAAGTCATTTTGAAATTTTCATCATCAGATTATAATGTATTACATATTCTAGTGGCGACGACGACATAAACGATGTTGCAGCAATGGGTGGCGTCAACCTGGCCGAAGAGTCGCAGCGAATCCTTGGGTCAACCGAGTTTGTCGGCACACAGATCCGCTCAGTGAAAGATGAGTTGTTTCTGCATGCCGGCCCACTGCACCAGAGAATCAAGCAGATTTGTGAGTTAAATACAAATTGTTTTATAAACATTTTCTCTCTTGAAATTATATTATTATTATTTGTCTTGTGTTTTTGTATGAAAAGATAGAATTGTTAATGTTTTCTTCTGATCCATAGTGGCAAAGCACGGTCTAGACGACCCGCCAAACTCGGAAGTGGCAGCCCTTATATCTCATGCCACCCAGGAGCGCCTTAGAGAACTAGTAGAAAAACTCGCAGTCATCTCCGAACACCGACAAGACATGCTCAAGGTACTTTCATACAAAATGTATTCAAGATTCTTGTGCATTTTGCACAAGATTTACAATTTTTGGAAGTTTTAAAAATATCTTTCATGATTTTTCCTACAAACTTCTTTTTTATTGTGTGGAATTTTTTTTAAATATTGATTAATTTCAGTTGGAGTCTCACTACGAGCCGACGCAGGACGTTCGGGCGCAGCTGCGGTTTCTTGAGGACCTAGATCGAATGGAGAGGCGGCGGCACGATGAGCAGGAGCGCGAGCTTCTTCTTCGGGCGGCCAAAAGCAGATCCAAAACAGAGGACCCTGAGCAGGCCAAACTCAAAGCCAAAGCAAAAGAGGTTAGACAACTTGGCTTTGATTTGAGGGCAAGGAGATTTGAATTTTCACTTCTCACAGATGCAACGGGCAGAGATGGAGGAGTTGCGCCAACGGGAGGCCAACCTGACAGCCTTGCAGGCCATTGGCCCCAGAAAAAAGCCAAAGCTCGACCTCAATGGCGCCTCCAGCTCCTCTGGACAGGTGAGAGTTGTGCTAAATTTTTATTTCTAACAAAACTAGGAAAAAGTAAAATTGATAAATAGTAAGATACCACAAAGTAGAAGATTTTTAAGAAAAGAAAAACATTTTCAGTATTATTTTCAAGACTTTGGAAACCACTGTGTGGTAAAAAGCGCCTTGTTTTAAGCATCTAATTCCAGTTTCTAATTACAATTTGTTTATTTCCAGTCAACGACGGCAGGGGCAAGTGGTTCTAGCAGTAGTACAACAAAAGCCACGGTGAGTCTCCAATTAAATAAATATATTTTCAATACTATTATTATACAATATACAAAGTCTTGGAAATTTCAAAAATAAAGAAAATTTAAATTCTTCTGAAGTTAAAAGCTTTTAGTTTTTTGTTCAAAATTATCTTTCGGAGAAAAAATATTGAGACAAGTGGATCTATTTTAATTCCATGAATTTTTTACAGATGCCATTGAGATCGAGAGTGAAGCGAGTCACCATGAAGGACATATTGTTCTTGCTGGAGCAGGAGAAGACGACGTGTCGGTCGCCGTTCCTCTACAAAGCTTATCTCAAGTAGATCAACTGGCGAAATAAAATTAAAATGCAAAACAAACCGAATAAGTGACTGTGAAGAAGAGAAATGCAAAAAAGCGGCGGCCATTTTAATCGCGTCTATTTTTGTATCGCGCGGGACACCAAAGAGGACCTTGATCACATTCCACTGTCTCAAGTGCACTTGGATTGCGCTGGCCCACCGGCCGCCCCCAACCTAATGCCTGCCCCCACCCCCGTGCCCTGAGAAAGAGAAAAGCAAGAAATGGACGGACGGACGGGGAGTTTGTTGTGGTCCGTGTGGGTCCAGCAGTCGGTTACGCTAATTGTTTGTTAAGTTTGTGTTTAGTCGGGTCTTCTAGTGAGTACCTTGGATCGTACATACACCGCTCTGTACTGTACATACAACAAAAACAACCAACGTTTCGTTGTTTGATTAATGACCACAAATGCTGATTCACCGAGAGACATTTCCTATGAGAATTGAGCGATGGAGAATCAAAACCGATTTGTTCGTTCGCATGTGAACGGAGTTGCAAGGAGTCGTTTGTTTTAATTCAGTGTTGTGCATGTTTTTTTTAGAGAAAAGCAGATTTGAGGAGAATAATCAACAAGCCGATGAAAAAGAGAAAATATCTATTAAAAATTTTTATTTTGCACCTCACATCTTTCATTAAAAGTTGAAAGTATCTTGATAAGTAACCCTCTTTTACTTAAAAATAATTTAGCAAACCAATTGGAATAGATCATGATGATTTTTTTATCATAACCTAATTTTACAAATTAAAATTTAATGATAAGAATTTTTGGAGTTGAATTAAATTTGTCAACATTTAGGTGAAAAGTAATGTCATTTTTTTGTTTAAGCTTTGCAATTAGCATAAAATGCTACATATAATTTCTAAAGTGACTTTCTGATTTTTTTTTATTTTAATAATATTTTGCCAATTTTGTCCTTTTAATCTAATTATACCAGCACAAAGATTTATTTGCAAAAAAAGGGCAATATGATAAAAGTTGGTGATGGAGCTGCAGAGCTTTTTTGAATGGAGATAGAGCTGCTGGATGTTATTGTTTCTCAGCGCGGCGCAGGAAGCTTTAGCTGCAGGGCGTCGGACGGACCGTCGGGCGGAAGCTGCTGCGAAAACGAACTCGGCGAGAAAATCGTCGCTAATTAACAAAGTTTGCCTCCACTCTCGCGTCCGTTGATTTTCCAACGGGAAACTAAAACAACCGGAAAATTTTGCCCAGCATTGTCGTTCTTGGAACAATTTACTGGTTCCACGTTATTTTTTATATACATAAACTACAATTTCATTTATTTAGATACGAGAGCAGGGAAGAGTCAAATTGGTTGGATTTTCGTCGCCAGATTTTTTTGGCCGGGAAATGACTTTGTTGTTGATCATCTCGTTGGCTGCTTTTTTCTCTGCCTTGACGTCTCTATCAAAGGTATAAAAATCAGAAGCGCGATAACGAGCGCCGGCAATCCGATCGCGGCATCATTATATTAGCGTTTAATTGGACGCATCGCGATCTCATCCGTCCGGAAAAAAAGCAGAAAGAAAACAAGCTCCCTATTTTCTCTCCGCCTTTGATAATTTCTGGCGTTGAAGGCTCCCTTTCAGCTTGTTTTGTTTTCGCAGGTTCTTTCTTCTTTTTCAACTTTTAATCACGTTCGCGCGCGTGATATCGAGTTTCGCGTCGGAAAGTATGAGCGCCTAAGCAGTGAAAAGAAAACATGGTGTTTAAAGATCGAGGGATTATAAAGAAGTAAGAAGAGAAGCTGTTTTCTTCAAAATCTCATCTGAAATTGAAAAATGCTTCCAAAATGTAAAACAAATTTTCCTGAAATCGAAGGCAAACGGAGGTAAATATATAGTTTAGCCTAAAACAAATGTTATATGAAATTAATATTTGATTAGTTTGTCTCTTCAGCTTCTTAGTTCGTGTTTGTATTTTTGATCATTTTAGTTAATGATTTTGATTAAAATCAATGTCCTTTTTATATTTATCGTAGGATATAATAAAATAAATAAACTCATATATAATTTTGATAAGTTTGTTTAATCCCATGGTTCATTTTTAATTCAATGTAGTTTTGTTAACTTCAAATAAAAAAGCTCCATTTGATTGAGACAATGATCAATTTATAATCTATACAACAATTTTAATTCCAGTTAATTATAATTATTAGGGGGAACAAAAAATGTAACGCATTTAAATTTTTCCCTCGCCATTTTTCAAAAATAAATTTGAGCCGGAGTCGGACGGGTGAGAGTTGATTAGAAAAAGCAGTCGGCATGGCCGGAGGCAGCGACGGGCCGGGGGCAGGACGGCGGCGGGTTTGCATATCGAATATCTGGCCCGCGGGGCTGCTCTCGTTCGCGTTCGTCCTCGTTGGGCGCGCACAAGAGAAGGGCCGGCGGCGTCGGAGGCTCTCCTTTGGCGTCGCCATGGCAACCGCAACTCAATATCGCGCCGCTCTCGCGAGCGAACCAATTGCGCCGGCGAGGCCCCGCGGGGCCGCCTCCGGGCCTCCGGGCCACCGCCGCCGAGAGAGCCACTTTTAATTATCTCCGCGGCGCTCCAATCAATATTTCATGCACAAATCAATCCCCGGCCGAATTAAACAGTACCCCCTGCTGTGTGCTCCTCCGCCACCACCATCACAATTCATCGCAAAAAAAAAATTAGAGTAGGATTTTCAAAATAGAAAATTAAAGAAATTCAATGTTAGATCGATTTACTGTTTTTATTCTTTATACATCTTACAGAAAGAGAGCTTTTCGTTTGGACGACTTTGAGTATTTACAAAAATTCCGAGGAGCCCGAGACAGTGTTTAATTTTTTTTTTACATTTTATCAAGTTTTTTTGTCAGATTTGTGACATCAAAACACACGACAATTTTTAATCGGAAAAAAATTAATTTTTGATGTCGCGTCTCGCACCCGCACATATGATTTCAATTATTTTTTCGTTTTAATTATACTCTGCTTCATAAAAGAGGAAAGTTAGTAGTGTAAAAAGTAATCAACGGCGGCTGGCTGATTGTCCTCCCGGCGAGCAAGTCAGTTTTCATTCAGAGAGTGGGTGAGTGGAAAACGACACTACAACGATGATTCCTTTATTTACAAACGTGTCTGAGTCGAAGCCAAGTATAGAAAAGACAGAGGGTGCAACTGTCTGAGATCACATCACCTTGTCCGCGACCTTGCCGAATCTTTATCGGGGGCGAAATTACATTATTTAATAATAGTAAGGAGGAAACATTGTAATATTTAATAACGCGCCTAGGCAAACAATGGAAAAACTTTTGATTCGTAAAGGACAACAACATCTTTGATTAGGATGGGAGGGAGGCAAAAATTAGCTGACCAGACCAATTGCGATTCCCATGGTGCGCAAATAAAAGTTTTGAGTAATATGATCTGTTGAGTGCCAAAATTCAATTTCATTTTGACAGGATTACTCTAAAAAATGTATTGCAACATCTAAGAATTTCAACCTGATAAAAATGGCAATTATTTTACTTACAGCGGAAAAAAAACTAAGTATTTGTAATTTGCACAAATTTCCAAGCTATTTGCAGCGTTTCGTCCGGTCAAAGGTCAGTTAATTTTCAAATAAAAGCAAACTTTTTACCTTACTTCAACAGAACGGCTTTAAGGCATATTTTCTCCAATATGAATCTTAAATTAGAAAAGTATTAAAATACAGCGAATTCCAAAACAGGTTTTGATTATTTTCTTTCAAAAAATTGCTTAAAACGTTTAAGAAGAAAATCTGCGAGTATGTCACCGGCCTGCACATATATACTTTGGAGGGCTTTCCTCGATTTTACCCTGTTTGTGGCTCGTGGGGGCTGCAGACTTTGGCGCGGAGGGCTCGGGTGGTTGGGGGTCGCGGGGGTCACATGGGGAAGACGCGGCGCACGAGCAGGTACTCGGAGAACTGCTGGCCCTCGACGCCGCCGCCGTTGCTGGCGGCGATCTTGAAGCCGGCGTTGAGCAGCCGCGTGATCGCCTGCATCGAGTTGATCTTGCAGTAGCCGTTCAGCGGGAAGCGGATCACGTGGCGCGCGTCGTGGTTCCACGCGACGCTCGAACGCGCGTCCATCAGTGCCTGCGCCGTCTCGGGGAACGACTCGTCGATCACCGCCCGCTCGCCCGAAAGCATGATGCGTTCGCCCAGGTCGGGACTCACGTGCAGCGCCACGCACTCGTACGCGGCGCCGCCGCCGTCGTCCTCATCGGCCGAGCGCCGCCCGCCGCATCCGTCGTGCCGCGAAGCACCGACGCGTCGCGACGACGCACTCGCGCGATGACCGCCGCCCAAACTTGATGATGACTGCTGCCTCTCGCGCTTCAGTTCCTCCAGCTGACGCACCATTTCTGCAACAAATAAATTTGGATATCATTAGCTTGAAACAGCCATGAAAAGTATTGAAAGAATAATGGGCGCTATTCTCTGGACTTCGTCAGTATAAAAATTATCCCAGTATTATTATACATTTTGTACTTGCCAACTTTATTAAAATTCTTATTTGCCAATTTTTTTTCAAATTTGAAAGAAGTCTTCTAAATCAGATGGCTTAATCATTCGGTTAAACGAAGCCCTTTCAAAATCGTACATATTCCAATCCGTTTTTTTCTTGCCAACTTTTTTGATTAGTTCATTTTTCAAAATGGCAACTTCACCTTGAAAGAATAATAATATTGAGCCATTTGAGCCTGTAGCAGGAAAAGCTCCAAACGAGTGGTTTTGCGTCGGCCAAGTGCCGCGGGCGTCGTCGGGCAAAGCGCGTTCGGCCGGGGGCGCCGCGCGTTATTTATTGTTATTGCCAGGGTCCGCCCTTGCATTGCACGGCGGCTGACGTCAGCGCCCCAGGTGCGAGAAAGAATATCTTTTTGTGAAACTCAAAACGCACTCGCAGCAACAAAAAAACTGAGTTATATGTAATTGACAAAAGAAAAAACTGCTCACTCACGTGGGATTTCGAAGTAGCGCGCCTCCTCGAGCAGCAGTTCGAGGTCGTCAAAGTTGTCCTGCAAAAGCAGCTTCGAGTTGCGCATGAAGTTGAGGATGTGTCGGAACATGGCACCGTCCCGGTCGATGAAGTAGTGCTGCTTCAGACTGTCCAGCACGATCGGAATGCTGCCGTTGAAGAGTTTCGCCAGCCGAGACTCAGGGTACCTGGATGAACAGAAAAGGGTGCCAAATTTTAGTCCAAAAATCGCTCAGCAAAATAATTAATAATATTTTACCATTTAATTTTTAACTTTTATAACAAATTTTTGATTAAATGTAATTCAAAATGCAAAATGTTTAGAAGTTAAATATTTAACAATTTTTCCTTGTACAACGAAATTTTCCATTTCAAAAATCAAAATGTTTTGACTCTTTTAGTAAAAACGAAATGATTTATATAATTTAGATAAGACAGATGAGTAAGTAATGAGTGTTGTATAAAGATGGACATGAAAGATTATCGATCAGTAATGCTTAGTTGAGCCGGTCCATTTCAACACGATAGGCTCCTCTCTCCTCATTGTGTTTTCCCACGAAATTAATGCTTTCATTCCCTTCGGCGAGCGATCTTGATGGCCACGGCCTGTGCTATACCGATCGCTCAGCTGCACCCACGCAGAGCCATTTGAAGGCAGGTGGGCGGCCGTCCCGACGGCTGAGCCGCGGGCCTAAATCAGCGCCGAACACAATTTCACCTCTGCTTTGATTTGCTTTAGGCGCTGACCAAATTCTTTTCATTCCTGCTTGAGCCATGAGGGCACGAGAGGCGGAAAGGGACGTGCGGTCCTGTTAATTTTTTTTTTATTTGGCGAAACTTAAAAACAAATTATTCTCTGATAGAGCAGTTTTCCTCTTATGAAAAATTAGGAGAATTAAATCATGGAATAAATATTAAATAAAGAAGGCATCGTTTCTTATTGTTTTATTAAAAGAAAGATTTTAACTGATTTTAACCAAATGAAAAAATAAATTTGAGAAACTAAATAATTTCATGGATATAAAAATTTGGAAAATTTGCTGATTAGCTAATTTTTTTTTAGAACAATTAAAAATGAAAGAACATATGAGAAATGTTAATGCATAAAAAAACTAATATCATTACATTCGAAAAACCAGTTGAAATATGAAGAAATATTTCATAGATTGAACGATAAAATTCTGCATACTACTTTGCAAAGAAAGCAAAAAAAAAAAAAAAAAAAAATAGTGCTATCACCTGCCTTGAAAAATGTCAAGATCGCACGATTTTTCCATCTCAAAACATTTATATATGCATTTCCTTATGTTTATCCGATTAGAATTAAATAATGACTCGTTTGTTGAGCTCATGAAGTGTATTGCGTCTCTTTATGCTGCGTTTCTTCTTGATGGTCTCGCTCGGGCGGAACGCGCGGCATCCGAAGGGCCGCGGGCGCCTCTCTCTCTCTCTCTCGTCGGCGCTGATTGCACTCTCGCTCGGTTCCCATTCCCATGAAGGCGCACGGCACGACGGCCCCGGCGGCCGTGGCCGCCTGCGGCCCCTCGCATGCCACGAGAGAACGAGCCGACGCGCCGCAGGCCCCTTTTTCTTATGCGCGCACTCGCGTCCTTTCTCAAGGGAAACGAGCGACGGAAAATATATATTAAGCAGGACGCCGAGTGTGTGTTTAGGAATTCCATCAGGTTTGTGCGATTAGATAATTAATTCAACGTTTGCCATCTTTCCCCTTTGTTCTATTGAACTCAATAAAGCGAAAAGGCTATAAAAATTGAAACTAAGAGTTAAAAAAATTTGCAAGAAGTTGTAAAAATGATGTGCCGAGTGAGGAAGGAATACAAAAAAACGGGACCTCTGCTTTTAAAATTTGCCAAAATTCACTTGGTTAATGCAGCGTCAATCCTATTCATCCTATCTTGGATAATCATTTCCATAGAAAAATCTAAATATCTACTCTTGAATGAAATACTTCCTGTTCTGTATTGCTTTGGACGCTTGATATACTTCTAATTAATAATTATTGCTTTTTCATTTGTAAAAGGTTTAAAAATTAGACTTGTATAAAAAATAATAACGGTTTTTTTAGTTAATAAAATATTTTTCATTTAATTTATTTTTTAATTCAACATTTCATGCGCTGACAAATAATTATTATGATACCTTTTACCTATTTTAGATTGAAATTTTGTGTTATATAATTATCAACTATCATAATTATAATAAAAAAATGACAATCTCATTTCCTGAATATAATTTTAAGCTAGGTTTCTCAAACTCAATTAGAATATCCATAATTATGCGAGAACAAAACCTAATTTATTTTTACTTGGCCAATGAGAATGGTACAAGTGCGAGTTTTTCAAGAATAAAATACAAAAATCTTCTGCCTTCTGCTCATAACAAGGATGTTTTCAGATGTGGTTTTGGTACAAATAAAGAAAAAATGTAGTTAATTGTGCACTATACTTTTTACTGTTTCTATAGCAAGTTTCACTTCGAAAAATTTCGGTAAATCTGCAGTGAACCAGAGACAAAAGATAACGTGTCGTGTAACACATAAAAATAGCGGGGTATTGGTAAATCTTTTAAAACTTTAGTTTTATCAAAGGATTTTTTTAATACTCAACAGAGCAGGCCCTAATATCTCATGTTGGGAACAGACATAAACAAATATTGATTTTACTGTGGCTATGTGTCATATATGAGTGTGATGAGCAAATTTAATTATTAATTTTTTAAGTTCATGCCAAAACGAAGTCTTTCAGTTTGTCTTTATTATTCCGAGATTAATTAACCCCAATGACCAATGATAAAGATTAAAAATATTCTATTGAAATCTATGTTTTGGAATGAAAACATGATTTATTATTTGATTAATTTAAGTGTTTCCAAAAATAAAATCTCCGAGCTCTGCACAAAAACCTGCTAAAAATTAAAAAGGAGAAGCAGAAAAAAATAGTTAAAATTGGTTAAAATTCCATTGACAAACTTTCAAGCAAATTTTGATTGCCAAGAGGATTTATTTAAAATTGGCCGTATATGATTGCTCCATATAATAGTTTTATTTCTTTTTTTCCTCATTTGTTATTCAAATTGATTTATTGCTGTTTATGGTCGCTATTATTATTATAGTAATGTGTAAACACAACACACTGCTGGTCTGAGGAATTTGCAGATTCGCACAGATCGCGGTTTGGCAAATTTGTCGCCACTTCTTCCCACGCGCGCGTAAATTCTTGGTTTTTGGCCGGCGGCCGCGCGGAGGGTCGCGGAGGAATGCGCGTGTGGCCGCAGGCCGCCGATTCCCAGCATGCGGCGACGGTGCGAGGCCGTGACCCCGCGCGCCCACCGCGAGACCGACCGACCCGGAGAGTCGAGCGGCCCCGGGGGCGCCGCAAACGATTCGCGCGCGCGAGCGAGCGCGGCCGCGATTTGACGAGAGCAAAATCTCGCATTGGGCCCAAGCATGGGAAAGACCCGCCGGCGCCAAGCACGATTTCCGCTGACAAGTCCTTGCCACGCTTTAGGCGAAAAATTTGAATTATTTCCCCCGAAGAAAACGCGATTATTCAAACAACTTTTAAATATAATCACTATAATTTTTGTAAATAAAATATATAATCACAGGGATGGAAATCTTATCATGTATTTAGAATGAACAATCAAGCAAATTCGGAAGATCGAGGAATATTTTTTGCACTCATAAAACGAAGATTTATAAAAGACGATTAAAAAATACTTTCCATTCATTTATTCTCTCACAATGTCTCACAACAAGTTATACAAATGAAATATTCACATTGGGAGAGAATTGGCAGCCAGCTCTGGTAAAAATGAATTCATTATAAAATAAATTGAAATAATGGATTGAATTGATTTTAGCTTATTTAACCTCTCAGAGGTTAACGGAATCAGGAATCAGCAAAATAAAAATGTTAAAAATTGCAAATCTCCCAAAAACATTGTGCATAAATTTAATATTGCAAAACTTCATATTAATTTAAACTTTAAAAAATCTGTATTTTCACAACAATAATAATTGATTGCACTCACTTGGTCAGTGTCTCAAGGGAGGAGGTGTAAATGGTGCCGCCGACGTCTATGTGCACCGGCGCCGTGTACCGCGACGCCGCGGCCACACACGGGATGCCCGTGATTTTGTGGTTGTAGTTGATGGCGCCCGTGGAGCCGCCGCCGGGCGGCGTCGGCGACGACGAATTGGACATAGTTGGCGACGTCGCTGGCGAGATGCTCGGAGACAGCAGCCTGCAACCGAAAATGACATGACAAGTGTAAATATTTGCAAACTACGCGCACCGCGCGGCCACGAGATCAAAGTGTGCTGATTTTAATTGGCGCGGGACACAAAAGGATTCGATCGGTGAAAGGCCTTTTGTTCTATTTTTGATTAGGATTTCATTTTTTAATTCGAGTGCAATTATTCGAGCGCTTTGTGCGTGCGGCGGCCGAGCCAGTTAGGCCAGCGTTTTAATTAGCGCGCGGCCTTTGATCCGACGGGGCAATATCGGTGCGCGCTTTGTCCTCGTCAAACAGCGCACCAAACAATAACCGCGCGCCGACCCACCGACCGACCAACCGGCAACAACAATAAATTAGCCAAACATGCTCGGCTGCATTTATTTGTCATCAGAGCGGCTCTCTGGGCTGCCGAAACCACTCGGGATTAATTTGCTGCACCCCCAGCCTCCCCCTGCCCTCTATTGTTGGCTCAACAATATCGCGGCAAACCGCGAATCCCTTTGACCGACTAGATTCGTTTATTCTGCTGGCCGATTTCGCCAAATTCTCTTCAAATCCGATTTGTCGTTCGCAGTTTAGTGATAGGAAAATGGACAATATAAAAATTCTCTCTTTTGTAAAGCAAGCGACTGTATTTGTATTTTATATCATTTATGAATGATGTTTGAGGGCAGAGATCCTGCTGGGGATTATATATCAATAAACAGCATTGAACTTAATATTTTTTTACTGACCTCATTTTGATCTGGGCGCTGGGGTACATGCTGTTTCGAGAAGTCCGTTTGGCCTCTTTGTGGTCGTGCGCCTCGGCCGACAGCTCCTCACATTTTCCCGCGCTTCTGTAAATAAGAAATTGAACATTTTCATCTTAAAAAATATCTATTAAAAATGTAATTCGTAACTTTGATTGATAACACCAGAAAATTTAGTGTTAATTTTTAGAAGCAGTTGAGGTATAGATTTAAAAATTTATCCCTTGGCTATTACAAAATCTCTCTATATCCTTCCATCCGTCCCAAATTTCCATTTCTCCTTCTCCCCTTCCCTGTTTCAATCACAGACTATACTACAGTTTTATGTGGTTTAAGTTTATGAATTAATTTTATTTAATTTCAACACCTTTCTTCCCCTCTCCTCTATCTTTCTTTAAAGATAATCTCCTCTCCTCTTATTTGTATTAACAATTGCATTTAATTTTTTAAACAATTGGATTTCCGCAATATTTATGTTTTTTTTTTTGCAATTTGCATTCAATTTCCTCGCGATTCATGTGAAGCATTGATGTAGAAGAATTGCGTTTTCGGCACAGGTCGAAACTGTAGCGTGCTGTGCTATTATTTATTTTGCGTCCACCCGAATTTCGGGGCGCGCACCTTGAGACGCGCGCGCTGTTTTGCTTCGTTTCTCTCTGTCGGTGTGTGCTGCTGTGCGATAATATTTGCCTTTCATCTGGCGCAACCCCTCGCCCGGTTCGCTCGGCAGCGAAAACAAAGAAAGCAAAACATTAATTAATCAAATTAGCGTCGCGGCCGAGCGGTGAATAAAAACGCGCGGGGTGAAAAAGCGAGCTGATGATTTCGCCGAGCTCGTCAATATTAACGGCCTCATTAAGCTGCACTCGCGCGCGCTGTAATTGAGTTTGCCCGCGCGCGCATCAGATATTCAATTACCTCCAGAGCAAACCAACATCTTCGGGAAAAAGTTTCGGCCGAGATGAAAATATGAGTAATTATATATTAGACGGCGGCGCGCGGCCAGGTGCTCACTCGCGGCACGAGAGCACCTTTTTTACCTCAACGTTCCGCTTTTTCACGGTGCGGCAGGTGAATGAGAGTTGCAGGTTGAATGGCGAGTAAGAAAAATGCCGGGCAGCTGCCGCGATAATTTAATTCGTCCGACACGCTCCCGTCTCGGATCTGCAGAAAAAATCTGCGCACGCCAAGCTAGCACCTGCCCATGTCCAGTGGAAAACTTTATTTTTTCACTTTATTACTTTTAATTTCATCGTCGGCCCCCATATTAACAGCTATTTTGCGGCTTTCAAGCAAGTATGAGCTAATTTTTTTATGGAACGTGTTTTCTAACCTCCGCTTTTTACAACAGAAAATAAAAATCAGTAATTTTTATTTTCATTTATCGACGTTTATTAGCCAAATTTTTTATTAATATTTAATTCACTTGTAGACGAAAAATCCAAAAAATCAATTTTAACAAAAAATTGTAATAAATCTTACGTAATAAATACGTAAGTGACTTGTGTTTAAGATTTTCATCGATTTATTTTCAGTTTTTGCGTTTTTGCTATTGTGGCACAAACACAAATTTTAATCAAGCGATTTCATTAATACATAAATTCATGACGTGTCTCTATATAATTATTAATTTGTAAAAACAAGATCTGCTGGGTGAATTTCTCTCTTAAATTTTTATTGACTTGATTTAAATATCAAAATTTAGGCCCAGAATATAATTTCATTTCTTAACTAAATTTGAATTCTTATTAGTAAATTAGGCGTCGTTTTGGGCAAAAACCGCCCGTTCAAGTCTCCTCCGCCTTGCTCAAGACTTTCCTGCGGCCGCGTCTCGAAGCAGTTGAAAGGCGAGGCGATTTCGATTCGGTGGCGACTGGCGAGCGAAGGAGCGCGCGCGCGATAATCGCCGGCAATAAATCTCGGCTCGTGCGTTCTCCGTTTGATGCCTCTTTTTCTCGACTCATTCGCGAAACGGCAGCAACAACCAGTTTTGCGCGCTGCCGTGTAATTAAGGCGTTTGATTGGCACCGACTTGGTTTGCTCACTGCAAATATTTGCCTCGATGTGGAATCAACACATCGATCATTGCACGTCGTCAACCAAATAAACGCAATACAGAGCGATATAGAAGTTTTTGATATGTTTATAAAAATATGAGAGTATAGATTGATTATTCAGATAACTCTTGTTTGTCCGTTGAGAATAAATATTGATGAAAAAATTAAAGTTTAATTTGAAATATTTTCAATTCAATTGTAATGCTGAGAATAACGGTGGATGTTGATTGAAAAACGATTTAATTTTTAATATTGTCGCAAGCCATTGGCGTTCAATAATCACATATACATACATTGTTAATATGAATTTTACTTAAAAATTATTTTATTGTGAATTGCAATTTCTTAGGTTTGAATGAAAATAGCATGACATTTTGATGTTCAAAAACAAAGTTACTTTTAGATTTTTTGGGTTATTTTTGGGTATTAATTTTGCCTAATTTACTGAATTATATAGAATAAGGGAATTCTATCAAATATAAAAATTAAAGGTAAAAGAGAGCATTATGGTAGGGAGTAAATAAGGTATAATAAACCACAAAAATTTTAATCAAATTCAAGTATCTCTTAAATAAGTAGTTTGCAATAACGCTAAATTCCAGAATAATTTTGACCGTATATATCAGCAATTACGTGCCATTTTTAGCGCTTATGGAAATAAACCCAATTTTGACACATAATAATATATCGTAATATATCAAGAAAAATTTAAAGAGATACTGAATTTAAAAGCACATATATATTGATTTACTGATGTAATAGTTAATTAATTAATTAATTAATTAACTGAATATTTATATTAATAATGTTAAATATGCTAGTAAATACTAAAAAAAAGAAATCAAAGATATAACTAATTCTCATTTATACCCATCTGCTTTTTTGGCTACAGCTACTAAAATTTATTATATTATTTGTTCTACTTTTTTAAGTGCTATCATTCAGCAGCTCCTTTTTTGCAGCAATTAATATTGCTGCTGAATAATAAGTAACTTTTTTGCTACTAATTGATATAGAATTTCAGTTGAAAATCTTAAGTATATTGTTGATCATTTAATTTCCCTTTGAATGTATAAAACAATACAGAAAAATCCAGATAAAAATTTTAATTACTGTCAGTGAGATTGTTATCAATGCAGATGGAAATTGCTGATTGCAGCTAGGTTTAAATTTTCCCAGCATGTGCGATAGGTTTCATAGAGCAAAAATAAAAGGCAGACCTCGTGGCTCCGATGCTTGCGCACCCACGTTATCTGATAGCCTGCAGTGTTACAGAGTGAGACCCCGGGTTTCAGCAGAACCTATATAGCGGAGTCAGTTGCCCGTCCTGCTAAAGCCCCAAAAAATAACATTACTCATTTGAATAATTAATTACCGAACAAGATAATTTTACTTCAACAAATAAACAAAAATTGATCTGTGATATAGCTTTCGAATTTTACTTTTCCATTCCAATCGTTTTTGGAGCAATAAAGAGTTCGCATGTATATGAGAGTCGAATTGAGCCGAATGGACTGCCGGTTATTTTCTTGTGGCCGAGATCAAAAGGACGTATGTGTGTGGTGCTTGGGTCAGCCGGCTGATTTGCTTTCGGTTCGGCCGGGCCCGGGGCGGACGCTTCGCCTCGTTCGGCCGAGCAACTACTTTGGCTAAATTATTCAGCACAACGAGGCCGGGGGCGGTTTCTGCTGGCTCCGGCCGCCGCCGCCGTGGCCGGGGGCGGCGCGCGCGCGCGTTTTAATTATGAAGCGGCGTAATGCAGATAGATGTACACCACGGCCGGAGAGAGAGAGAGAGAAGCAAGCAAGCAAGGGTTGCGAGCCGCTTCTTGCCGCGGGCGCAATATCCAACTTGCTCCTCCGCCGCTCGGCGCGCAAAGATACAGCCAGATACGGGGCCCCCGCGGGCGCAATCTGCTCATTTTCTTTGGCTGCAGCCGGCGGCGCGACCGCAGCATCCTCATCATCAAAGTTTAAAAAAGCAGCAGCCGCCGAGAGCGAAACGAGCGAGAGCTGAGCGAAGAGAGAGAGAAGCAGCACCGGAATAAAGAAACGCCCGCGGCCCGAAAGCACCACCGACCGACGCCGGAGAGACCAACCGACCCACCCGGCAAAAAACTCACACTTCTGCTTTTTACGCAAAAATATTTTTCTTCCTTCGCGACAAAAAGAAAGAAAGAATGAGGCGAAACTAAAAAGCGTCAGCAAGGTAGAAACTAATCCCTTATTATATTCTTCTAAAATAAATAATTTTATCTTCTATCTGTATTGAATTTTTATTCTTTTTATCCGGTGGAACAAAAATTTTGGGAAATTTATCTTTGAAACAAATCTTAAGATTTTTAGCCATAGTTTTAATTTGATCATTGCAAAAATCAATGGAAACAGATAATAAATAATTAAAGGCAAAATTAAACCTTAAATTTAAAATTCTATAAGATTTTACACCCCTGATGTTATTCAGAAAATGAAATTAAACAATCTGTATATGGTCCACCAATTTGGTAAATTTTCTTCCTAAAACTGATTTAGGGCGTTAAAACTAAACAAAAGAACGAAGAAGATTGCAAAACCCGTTGTTATTTTTATAATAAAATTTGTGAAATTAATTATTTAAAAACATGAATTAGAATAAAAATGGTAAAGTTTTCATTTTTCTTATCTTTTATGCAGGTAGCTTAAAGTTTTTCGTTATTTAAAGTTGCATGACTCAATTATAAATCACCTCATTTAAGCATTCATTAAAAACTAGATGTTGCCATCAACCCTAACGAGCATATCAACACCTCCAGCTTTTTGTCTAGGAGTGGTGTCAGTCAGGTCAGGGTATGAAGGTGCCTTTTGGGCAGACGTGCGCGAGGACAGACGTGGACAGACGGGCGAGTGTCTCTCGTCTGGTGGCGTCGCTGCTGACGCCGAAGCGTTTTCGAGCTGCCCCGGGGCGAATCAAGGTGCGACCGAGGAGCGTCGTGGGCTCGTTGCGTCATGAATTCCCCGTGGGCCTTTGTTTTCCGAAGGCGTGTGCTCCGTT